TTATTTATACTATTTTCAATAAACACAACCAAAAATAAACAAATAATGATGACATTGACATTTGACAATGAGGTTTCGTTTTACTAATATATGTACGTATGTTATGAAATGATAATATATGTTTGTATTATTAAAATATTGTGTATTATTCTTAAATAAATTAGGTAAAACAATAAACTAATGCAGGTTAAAAAATTATATCAAGAATTTTAAACAATACGGGAAGTACCTACAGATAATTACAGGAAGTACAGTCAGATAATTCTGTATGGACGTAGATCCCTTTGCCTTTAATTAAAATACTAGTTTTTTTTATTAGGATTTTGGCTTGGATGCTTGTATTTTAAGCCACATCTTCATTTCAATCGGTATTTTCCAATTATTTAAACAATAATAAATTGTATGTTAAATGCAAATATATGAATAAAATGCATCAGGGAAATAATTTATATAAATTTATAAAACTTTCGACATTCTGTAAAGAAACATTAATTGTTTTGAAATAATTTTAAAAATAGAAATCTCATCCTAAAGTCATTATGACAATTATTTTGGCCTTTCTAAATTAACAAGAGTATGTATTCTATCTTAAAAAGCTGTTTTTATCATTTTAATCCTTTATCGACCTAAACACCTAAAAAAAGCCGGCGTTTCCACCGATCTGAAGTTGCATAAACGTAGTTCTGGACTTAGTCTCGCACAAACATCACTTTGGTCGCCATTTGCGCCACGAAGGCTCGCAAATCGGACTTGTGTGTAGTGAAATTATAGGTTATAGTGCTAATTTATCAGTTATCCGTGCAACGAAACCACAATAATTGCAACACATTATATCCCTAGCCTGCTAAATATCGAAAAAGAGCAAAAAGTTCATCAAATGAGTAAGTATTCAACATATTCATATGTTACGTAGAATGCGACACGTGCCTTTACTTTAAATTTTATTTAGATAAATTGCAATAAAGCTATGTATGCGTATATGCCGCGTCGACTTTGCACCGTAACGAGCATAATTTTTTTATTGAAAGATTGACCTTATAGAATAATCGTTCCGATGTTATTATTGCGCTAGATGATCTATTTTGAGCTTGACTTCGTTACTTGAAACAAATATCGAAATTAGTTTTTAATAGTCGTCGATTTGTGCTATATAGAACGTGCGATTTCGTTGTAAGTTGCACTTGTGTGGTAATTTGGATGTATATTGTATACGCGCTAAAGGAGAAAGTTGAATATTTTAAATAGTGCCCTTTCATTTGTTGACATTCTATTTCATAACATTTATAGTGTTGTGTGGACTTGTTTTGTCTATCTTTTTCTTTATATCAACAGATATGATGGCACCTACCACAACCACAGATTCATTATTAACAAATGGTCAACATTTACCATTAAATATTGATCATTGATATATGGATAATTTTCTAATTTAGTGTCATTGTATACTAATTAATTTTGGAATCAAATTACTTTCTAATCAATTAATTTTCTTCTTGACCTATTACCACAATCTTGACATTACCACTTTAGTTATTTAAAACTGCTGTTACCTACCTGGAGTTGTTCATTCTATTTTTATTTTATTCTATTTTCATAGATAAAATCATTTTAATAACATGTTATCAATTACTCGGCTCTATGTCTACAAGTAATATAAAAACTTTTCTGTCAAACAATAAGCCGTACAAACACTTTCTAAGAAACAGGGTTTTAAAATGTGTAACAAACTGCTTGTAAATGTGATCCCAGCACAGACAGTGTTGCCAAAAAATTATTTAAATTCTGTTGAGCTTGTTGGTGTTTTCCGTCAAAAATCTGTTTTTTTTTTTTTATTATTAGTTTAGAATTATATAGTTACGCTTTAAAGAAAAATTGACCAAAATAAAAGATGCAATTAAAAATGTTTAAATGTATTTGCTAAGCACAAATCTCGAGAGCAGCTGAACCGATTCTTTTTTATAATATTCCTTGAAGTAGGAAGATGGTTCTTACGAAGACAAAAATTTAAAAAATTATCTGAAAAAGTCTAAAAGCTATATTTTTCTATACTCCCATACAAAAGATTCCTAATAATACTTAAAAGTCAATTTGAACTTTAATATCATACCATAAAGTTAAGTGTTAGTGGAGGGGTTCCGGAAAGGCAAAACAATTGAGTGATGTTAGTATTGTATAAATATTATACCATATCATATAAATATTTGTCAATATTCATACCATGGAAACTTAATTTAGAATAAGTAAAAATAAAATGAAATATAATAAGTAGGTATCATAGTAAGAAATCAGAAATTGTAATTTTCTTTGTGATTTTTTAGTGACTATTAAAAGAATTTTAAGTGTTTTATATTTTTTATTTTTTGACATAATGTAATTGTTGACTTATCAACTTTCTTTTTTCTCTTTTTATCTTACTAGCTGACCCGGTGTTCCAAATAGCAGAATAATTATTAAAAAAAATAAAAAATTAAAGAATCGACTATTAGGCGGTACGAAGTTCACTGGGTCAGCTAATAATACATAAATTTTATATGTACATACGTTTAACATACAAATATCATAATTAAAATTATGTTTACCATATTTTCTGACATTTTACATTTACTCTGTTTTGATTTTACTCCATTCATGATACTGATTTCACAGTACTCAAGCAACCTGGGTTTGATCCCCGCCGGCACCAATGGTTAATTACAATTTTAAGTGCTGATTCACCACATGCTCAGTGGTGAAGGAAAACATTGACAGGAAAGACATTTCCTTGCTCTAAAACCCTCAGAAATGAGAGGAGGCCTGTGCCCAGCAGTAGGACTTATATAGGCTGTAACTTTATGACACTGATTCTATCCACCTCAGCATTCAAATATAGCAAGCAATAGTAAAACAACAAACAAACTAATATAAAATATAATATTGAAATCAACTGCTATTTAAATTAACTGTAAAATAAAATATTTATGCCTGCTTTACATTCAGTGATTTGTGTAACAATCATTAAGTTTAACTTTGCAAATGTGACATAATTTTTTAAAATAAGAGGACAACTGGGATCGTACAATAGTGATCGGGGAATAGTACATTGTTACCATGTAAAGAAAAAAGTGTAATTAAAGTAATTTAGATTTTTTTTATTTGAATATTTCTGTGAAATCTGCTAGCAGTTGAAATATATTTAATTGTTATGGTGTGTGATTGAATTTATTTGTATACTATATTTATTAATCCCAACTAGACAAGAATACAAGAAAATATAACTTATGTAACATTTCACATTACTTTCTATACTACAATATTTTAAACATCTTAGTTAGAACTGTATCGGATGTCTGTGTCCTGAAAGAAACACAAGTTCATCTCATCATGACTGTGCTCAAAATACGAGTTGGAACCAATACCTCTCCCTTTTTAAAAGGCTAAGGATAAGGGTGACAAGCAAGCACACAGTCCACCTGATGTTAAATGGTTGCTGTGGCAAATAGACATCTACATCTATCCTCGATTACAAATCAAAATGCAGATGTGTTATCGCCCGTGAGGACTGAGATGGAATGCCTCATTTCAAGTAAAAAGGATCTGCGGTTCTCTACACTCAACCGTATAAAACACAGCAGCGCTAAGCTGCTATTTTTTGCTGGTATTCTGTGAGAATGTGGTCCTTCCCCAGTTGAACCGACCTATTCCTGCTACAACTATACCAGTAATAAAGCTGCAGCATGGCTCTACCACATAGTTTTTTTTTTTAATCTAAGAAATGTTATTAGGTAAATTTTGATAAAATGCGTTGTCACTACTAAGATGGAATGCCTTGTTTCAAGTAAAAAGGATCTCCGGTTCTCTACACTCATCATACAAAACGCAGCAGCATTAAGCTGCTATTTTATTATATTCTGTGATTGTGGTCCTTCCCTGGTCGAGCCAACCCATTTATGCTACAACTGTTCTACTAATATAGCTGCAGTGTGACTAGTACGTATAGTCACACATTTAGGAGGAGTTTGTCACATACACATGGACATATTATATAATATATAATATGCATGTATTATACATATAAACTTTCATCTTAAACAGAGACAAGACCACATCAAAATTCGTCGTGTAGTTTAAAATATCTAAGCATACAGATGGTGGAAAGCAACTACTATGTAGAGATTCAGTTGCACTTACAGAATCATTCTTTGACCATACCTTGCCCACCAAAGAATGATTACAGATCTGCAAGTTTTTGTTTTGTTCAAATTTATTAATGATGTTTCATACATATTTTAATGTACTGCCTTTGAAGATTTTTTACTTCCATGTAGATTTAAATGTTTCATTTTGTAAATTGTATATAATATATATTTTGACGGTTCTATGTTGCAGTGGCAGAAATTGGGGATCACCTAATGTCTGCCTGTCCCAAACATTCTTATCAGAAACTATAATAATATTTTTCTCTCTGTAATTTTATTACATTGTGAATATACTAGGTTTGTTAATGCTTAAACGGTCACGGTTGCCAACTCCGTGGCGCAGTGGCTTAACATTGAGGAAGGAACAAGTATTTGTACGGCCTACAAATAATTGTTCGGGGTCTAGATGTTTGTCCTTGTACAATTTATGTTTGTAAAATGCCTCCACGATATATGAGAAAATCCTACTGTGGAGGATACTTTTTTTATACGATAAAGACAACTGTATGTTGAAGTTGAAGTAATTAAGACAATTATTAAGTGATCTGTCTCAATTATATTTGTAAACCATGGTTAATCTTTACATTAATGTATTTTATTAATTTATTGCAGCTGTGCAGAACACCAGCTATGAAGATTGACAGTAAACAAGAAAGAAACGGAACTAACCTTATGATACCAGTGCCTCAACAGAAAATCAATTACTATAAGTAAAGTTTATGCTATTAAGATACCTCATATTTACCAGTATTTGTGAATAGCGGACCGTTTAAACAATAAGTGAGTCCAGTATATGGATACAGAGAGAATTTAAGTGTTGCAAGAATGAAAATTCCAGAGACTTCAGCTAATATTGGTGCTTATTATGGCAATGAAGAGAACGGTCAGTGGCAGGTACGTAGCAACATTGGCTTTGTTGAAGTGGAACTTCTTTATCAACGTGGTGGAGAAGTTTAGTAATGGTATTAAAAAGAAAAACGTCACGTGTTCTTGTAACGTTTCAGTATACTATTATTTAACAGTGTTAAATATACAAGTGGTAAAATTATAAATTTTGTACGACCGACTTTAATATCAATAAAAAGAGAACATAGTCAATGTACGAGGGCGGCACTGAAAATTTCGTGAATCAAGGAAGTGACACAACATTACTATTTAAAAATGTATTTATTGCTCTTCGAAGTAATATCCGCGAAATTTGACACATTTTTCCATACGATGGAACCAATCATTGAAGAAACCATTCCATTCAGAAGTTGGGGTCTCCAAAATGGCCGTTTTCTTGGGTGACTGCAGTTTTTGGACGACCTTGACGGGGATCATCACTGAGCTTGACACATCCTCGTTGAAATTCAGCAAACCAGTGATAAATTGTGGTTTTGGATGGGGCTTCATCACCAAATGCAGAAATCATCCAGTCCACTGTTTTTGTGTTAAACCATTTCGAAAGTCATAATAAATCATCGCTCTTGAATTTTCTCAAGTCAATTCCATTTTCTTAACGACTAAACAAGTTTGACAAAACCTTGTGACAAGACGGAGAATCTTTTTTTAAATAAATAAATGGTATTCGATTTTTAAAACCAAGGTCTTTTCAATTAAAAAGATTTTAATATGACAGGAACAGTGGAAATATTCCATTCCCGATACTTTTAGTGCAGCCTATGTAGTTGAAGTCAATTAAATATGCAGTATTAAGGATAACTCAAAAACTTTTGGTCAGATCTTGATCATATTTATATGGGACCACATGAGAAGCACTAGCTTTCATATAAAAAAGAACCAGTGTGTAGAGAATCGGCGACCCTTTTTACTGGTAACAAGAGGTTCTATTATACCCGTCAGGAGATACAACCTATCTACATATTGAATCTTAACCAAGGATGAATGGAGATGTCTACGGGCATCCACATACCGTCAAATGGACTATGTGCTTCTGTGTTACCTCTATTCTATTTAAAAAAAATATATGCATTTTTATTTTCACTGCTTCTTTTTCAGCCAAACGGTGTAATAATTGACAACGGTGTCGGTGGTGGAATTGTTGGCAGTGGTGACGCAGGAGTGCATAGACCACCAGTGTACCCCGTACATATACCAAGAGGACATATACCTGGTGAGTTTACAAATCTAAAATTTACCAACTGGTTTCAGTATTTTCTAACCATTATTAGCCAGAACTACTATCTCGCCTGATGGTAATGCCGGGTTTTATATTTAAAAATGCTGCGTTTTCTTTTACGAACCGTTTTGCAGTAAATGAAGTACATGTAATCCCTTTTTTTAAAAGAAAATGAAAATTCAACTAATTATAGATTAATTAAATTAGATTTTTATTTTAAGTCATCCTAAGTTCCTGAAGTTTGTAATATAAACTGTTATTACATGCACTTAGTATGTAATATCTTCTCAACAATACTCTAATAAACTCCATTGCAGCTATCTAATACTGTCCGGGCCAAAAATGTTTCATATTTTACGTAGGAATAATGACATGGTTTATTAATAATTTAAAATTAAAAATTTTGTACAGCCGACTTCAATATAAGTTATTTAAGAATAACTTAAAAACTATTGGTCTGACCTTGATCAAATTCATATGGGACCACACGAGAAGTACCAGCTTTCAAATAAAAAAAGAATCATCGAAATCGGTTCACCCAGAAAAAAGTTCTGAGGTAACACACATAAAAAAAAAACATACAGTCGAATTGAGTACCGGCTCCTTTTTGGAAGTCGGCAGAAAAATATAATAAAAACGTTTTTTTCACCTAAGTTTATATTATAATATAACATTAGTGCTAAAAGCGAAGTAATAAACTCGTTTAAATATGAGGGTATCCAATGTTCGTAAAAAATAAAAAAAGGTATATTTAAAGTGCAACAAAAGATAATGAAAACACAAAACTACGTGCGAACATTAAAGATAATTTATATTTCTGGATAGTCTGATATTTTCAGCAAATAATAAACAAGAAAACACCAAATACGAGATAAAATGAACAAGCACTTAATTGACGATTTTCGACTGGCAATATCTTCAAATTCGTCAACGAATTATAGATTAAAAATTGTTTTTATCTATCTTTGTCTATCAACAAGCCTTTCCATAAATATGAACAGGTTATGAAACTGGAGCAAGCGGGTAACCCTATGGTACCCAAGAGATGGCGTCAGGAAACAGGGTCGCCCAACCAGAAGATGGGAAGACGATATCCGCCTGGCCTTGGGATCGTACTAGACAAGGGTAGCAGCAGACAAGAGTCCAATGGAAGTAGTTAGAGGAGGCCTATGCCTAAATGAAACACTGAACTGAATGACTTATTGTAACTAGTACCACAGTAGGAATTCAAACAAAATAATGTACAACCCCAAAGTTCGGAAATAAATGCCTATATATAAATTATTATTATTTATTAATTACTAGCTGTTCCCCGCCACTTCGCCCGCGTGTTATTTGGTGTTTTAATTTTTTTGCGCGGAACCCTAATTCTTTTTCTATAATTAAAGTAGCCTAAGTTACTCTTTTTGATATCAGCAGTCTGCCAGTGAAAATCCCGTCAAAATCGGTCCAGCCGTTTTGGAGATTAGCTGGAACAAACATACAGACAGACAAACCGACAGACAAAAACTTAAAAAACCGTATATTTGTTATTAGTACTGTATATGCTTTTATTTCATTTAGTAAAAAGCTGTAATTTTGACATTACAAACAGACACTTCAATTTTATTTATTTGTATAGATTTAGTATGTAATAAAATGGATCATTACGGAGGACGAAACATTTCTTGAACATAGGAATCGGGCATTAGTGGTGATGCATCCAAAGATGATAAAACGTAAAGAAGCCCTCTGTCGCCTCTTACTTGAGCTTCCTCATACAACCAGCAATGGAAAAATCTTGTCGCTGACCCATATGTCAACACTGGCAACACGCACTTATTGAATACTCTTGTGTAGTGTTTGACAGAATTTTCAATCTCCTGCCCACATGAACTCAATTTATTACAACTTTGTTTACAGGGTATGTGATGGCGGGAGCCTATTATCCCCCGGCGGCTTATCCCCCAGTCCCTCCACAACCACAAGATGATTTTGCTGACTATATGTGGATGGAAAATGAAGAAGAGTTTGACAAACAGGTTAGAATTAATAATAATTATTATAATATATCAGCAGCCGGGCAGTTGAGACAACCGATAATGCCTAATGTTCAGAAAGTGATTATCTAATCTATGTTTGAATGACGGTTAATAATTTTTTGTTCACCAGATGTCGCTAGCTGACACTGAGTAAAGTTTTTTGTTACACAATGTTATTTATTTGAGAAGTTAGTTTTAAATAAAAGTATCAGTTTTTATTATATAGTTATTATACATAAAACAATGCCTCTGTGGTTTGCTCTTCAACTTTTTGCACATTTTTAACTTTTTTTTAAATTTTTTCTACTTTTGCGAACATCTGTGGTTTGGTTTATTTATTTTTAAATCTTATTAATAAAAGATATAACTAAAAGGCTGAGACTACGTTCTTTGGCAGATTATTCCACGCGGTGACCACACGGTTATAAATGAAGTGCAATAATAATATTAATATTATCGTTTTTTATGTATGTCACACTAGGATTCTTCATCAGCCTGTAGAAGACCTCTGTTGGTCATAGAGTTTTCCAGTTGTAGCATTGGAATATTTTCTTTTTATAGAACTATGTTATAATCCACCCAATTGTGAGTGGCTTCTGCTACCCAAAGACACATAACAAATCAATTAAAAACAAAGAAATACCTTACAGCTTAGTTATTCAAAGTCAAATTCAAAATTATATTAAATTTAGGCTTGCTTAAAGTTCTTGTGAATGCAAAATATACATTGGTTCGTTAAATCAAGACCTTCTCTTAGAAGCACTGACAAGAATTTTGAAGATTTTTTGTTGTCTCTATTGCAAATTTATTGTATGACGAACTTTTGTGCTGTGCATTTTCCAGGTGATGCAGCAGTTAGAAGAAGAAGCGCTAATGGAGCAATGTATAGAAGCTATGTTGGAGGACGAACAGCGGGAAAGGCACAGGCCTGTCGCCAATGGACACAATCACCACTACCCCACGTGAGTGATATTTTTAACTATTAGAAGCCAGTACTTAACTTCTATCCCACCTAATGGTGAGTGGGTAAGCCGAAGATGACAAAGCACACTGACTTCGCCGCTTCCCCGATCGAACCCACCCGTTCGTGCTACAACTTGGGATGGGCAAGGGAAAAAATATATCGATATATATATTGAATCGATAATTTTAAACAGTATCGATATATATCGTCATCATTTCCATGATGTAAAGATAAGGTCCAAAATATTATATTACTGACGGTTGGACGACGAAAAAACCAACCACACATGAATTTTGTTGTTACATGTTTTGTCATTAATACATTTTAAAATATATCTTCTACCTGCTTTTGTTGTTACATGTTTTGTCATTACAACATTTTAAACTATATCGAAATTGATACGAATTCGATACTCCCAAAATAAATATCGACATATCGATATTTTTTGCCCAAGCCTACTACAACTATACTACTAATATAGCTGCAGCGTGGCTCTACCACGTGCAATAAAGTATACAAGAACCATGTAATGGCGGTGTAAGAATATTCACTACCTGTCAAACATGTCACCAAAGGCCGGTATCCCCCTCTGGGGGAGGCCCATTTTGGCGCTCGATTTTATTATAAGCAGTAATAAATTTTAAGTGCCGATTTGCCACATTCACTTTACCGCCCAGGTGAGCTTGTGGCATTATAGATATTTAACAGAATATTTTAATTTCCAGCACCAGTAACGGCCAAGCATCTCTGTCACTAGAGGAGACCATCTCGCGATCGACCCTGAACCCTCTCGCTGCGGAGTTTGTGCCCACACGCGCTAGACCACCGCAGACTGCCACAGGTAACGTTATAGAATCGAATCCATCCATTGACTATCAATCCAAGTATTACATGCTTTACTTGAAAGTATACTGACCGCTCCGTTGCAAATTTAAATCTATACGTGGTAGAGCCATGCTGCACCTATATTAGTTATATTAGCTATAGTTGTAGCACGAATGGGTCGGCTCGACTGGGGAAGGACCACGCTCTCACAGAATACCATATGGAATGCCTCTTTTTCAGCCTTTTGCCTTTTTCGTACGCGATAGAATCCGTAAAAGTAGTTTTATTCAATGTGTAGTGTTCGCGTAAATATAAGAAATCATTATGATAAATAGTAGTTTAAAACTGCTGTGTTTCGTATTGTGAGTGTAGAGAACCGGAGACCCTTTTTACTGGAAAACAGGCATTCCATCTTAGTCCTCACGGGTGACAACGCATCTGCATTTTGATTCGCAAGCAAGGATAGATATAGATGTCTATGTTACGTGGTAAATCAGCACATAAAATTGCAATTAACAATTTCATTGGTGCCGGCGGGGATCGAACCCGGGTTGCTCGAGTACTGTGAAGCTTACAGCGAGCGCTAACCATCTGAGCTACCATGGCTTAAAAATACTATTAAGTAGTATCGGAATCAAGGATGGTACGTGAGGCTATTGAAATTAAAAAACATCCTAATTACAATAGAGGGGGAGGCTTGCGTCACTATCACTACCACCTGTTTGGCATCCTGTAATTAATAAAATTAAAACAACCCAAGCATACCACTGCAAGGCCAAGACCACTGTAAGTTTATTTTGCATAGATCGGACAAAAATTAATAATTAAAAAAGCTGACAGTACTCCGGGTTAACTCTGACATTGGGACGTCAATCACCTCAGTCCTCCGTGACCATGGGTATTGTAAAGCACCCGAAACGTCGGGAATTTAATAAAAATAAGTTAATTAAACGCGATAAAATCCGTAATAGTAATTTTATTCAATGTGTAGTGTTCGCGTAAATATAAGAAATCATTATGATAATAATATTGTTTTATACCATTCACATTTTAACAACAGAAGAGAAACAACAGAGCGCGGAAGAGAAAGTACCAGAAGAAGCGCCGAGCGTTAAAGAAGAGATCGCGCCCCAGACGGAGACCGTTGAAAGCAGAGAAGAAGTCACGGAACAGAGTAAAACAGAAGGTTAGTGCAGATCTCTAGAGCTTTTCTCTATTATACAGGTAAATGGTTCTTAGTTTCATACTTAAATAGCAGAGCAAGCACGCAACCAGGTTCGTTCCCCGCCGGCACGAATGAAATTGTTAATGGCAATTTTAAGTGCTGATTTACCACGTGCTCGGCGGTTAAGGAAAACATCGTGAGGAAACCTGTAAGTCTGAGAAATAAATAAATAATATTTCGAAGATATATGAAGTTCGCCAACAGGCATTGGGGCAGCGCGGCGGACATATCCTTGCTTAAAATCCTGTCAGAAATGAGAGGAGGCCTGTGCCTAGCAGTGGGACGTATATAGGCTGTAACTTTAACTTTTTTAACATATGATTAAGGGACGATTTTTGAATCATCAGGTAGTTTCATAGGCTGGTTGTTTGCCATAGTTGCCAGTATTGCAATGCTTGGCAGAAGGGTTGGTACACACACTTTTTTTATTATTATTGTGTTCTTTTCAGGAAAATGTGCTGTCCATATGCAATGCTGCCCCATCTCCTGTTTCAGTGGCCTTCTATCGGCTCTTATTATTCCCACAGGATGATATAGGAGAGCGAATTCCCATACGCTGTAGCTACATAGCAGTCCTGGGCATAATATAAAATATTATATGTGACCCCTTTCCAAAAATGATATTTTGATGGACCCCACTCCCTGAAAAGGGGGGCATTTAAAACTTACGTTTTTTTTCTTATTCACAGAGCCCGCACCCCAACAGCCTACAGCTCCAAGTGAGCCCCCAGAAGTAAGTGCAGCAGATGTGCAACCAATAGCTGATAAGTCAACGGACAAGAAACCTAAAGACCCCAAAAAGGAGACCAAGAAACCGGAACCTAAGAAACCAGTGAAACAGGAGGCGAAGCCCAAGGTGAAACCGCTGGCGGTTAAGTCTGAAACGAAGGTGCCCCCTAAGAAGAAAGAGGTGAAGAGTGTAAAGAGTGAGACAAAGGTCGAGGAGAAGACGGACGAGGTGACAGTGGTGACGGAAACTGTGAAGGTAAGAAATTTTTAGACTTATTAGATGAATATCCACTACCCCATATCGTCCTGTAAGTTTCGTAAGAGGCGACAGAGGGAAACTGAAACAGAGAAAAACTGTGGTTGCCAAATACGTTTTTTTACGTGGTAGAGCCATGCTGCAGCTATATTAGTAGTAGTTGCAGCACGAATGGGTCGGCTTGACCGGAGAAGGACCACGCTTTCACAGAATACAAGCGTGAAATAGTAACTTAATGCTGCTGTGTTTTGTATGGTGAGTGTAGAGAACTGGAGACCCTTTTTACTGGATACAAGACATTCCATCTTAGTTCTCACGGGTGACAACGCATCTGCTTTTTGATTCGCAATTGAGGATAGATGTAGATGTCTATGGGCCGCAATAACCACTTACCATCAGGTGGACTGTGTGCTCGTTTGTCACCCTATCCTATAAAAAAAACGCCTGCGAAGCGTGGCAACTATGGCGAAATACTCTCTATAAGGCAATTTATGGGGGAAGTCTAGGTTCAGCAAGTTGGCTGTAATAAATTTATCTAACAATGCTTTTAAAAAGATCAAAAATAGCAATGATGACTCACACATAGTAATGGAATTCGTTACAGACAGTGGTTGACAGTGTAGTGGTGGTGTAAGAAGATATTCACGTGGCGTTTGTGGCAAATCTAAAAATAGACGGCTCCGTGGCGCAGTGGCTTGCTGCGCAATGCTAAGCAATGAGTTGCTGCGCTGGGGGCCGCGGGTTTGAATCCCGCACGGAACAAGTATTTGTATGGCCTACATACATATAATTGTTCCGGGTCTGGATGTTTGTCCTCGTTCAATTTATGTTTGTAAATTGCCTCCACGATGCAGCAGAAAATCCTAGTGTGGAGATAACATATTTAAGAAAAAATAAATACTAAATCTTCTTCATGCATTAATGTTACCTCTGGGATTTAGTCATAGTTGTAATGTTACTGTTAATTTAATAATTTCACCTCTCAGTGGGTCATGTGCTCCTGGTAGATTATCTTCTATACATCCATCCATTACAGCCTATTAATGTCCACTGCTGAACATAGGCCTCCCCCATAGATTGCCTCATAGGGGGGATATTGTCATAGTTGGAATGTTACTGTAGATTTAATAATTTCACCTCTCAGTGGTTCATGTGCTCCTGGTAGAATATCTTCTATACATCCATCCATTACTGCCTATTAATGTCCACTGCTGAACATAGGCCTCCCCCATAGATTGCCTCATAGGGGGGATATTGTCATAGTTGGAATGTTACTGTTGATTTAATAATTTCACCTCTCAGTGGTTCATGTGCTCCTGGTAGAATATCTTCTATACATCCATCCATTACAGCCTATTAAAGTCCACTGCTGAACGTATAGGCCTTTCCCATAGATTGCCTCATAGGAAGGGTATTTGCCATAATTGCCACGGCTTGCAAGCAGGTTGACAACTGCTGATTTTTATTAGTTATAAGTCGTTGCCCATCTCCTGATTTGTTTCCATCCTTCATGCAATGGCATGTGCAGGTAGTCCAGAAGTAGACATTCACAGGCTGAAAAAGAAATAAATTCATTAAAGAAGCAACCAACTGCAATACTTTGTTATTATCGAGCATGTCTTGCTTTTAAAACATATATTTTTTTATTGCAACGGCTAACATGTTAATAATTTTCACTTTTTTTCCTAAAACAAAATAAACCTTTGCAGCAAACTGCACCAACAATAACCGAGGAAGTGTCTACATCTATCAAACCCATCAACTACGCAGCAGCGGCGAAAGCCAACAAACCCAAAAAACCCACGACCCCACCTGTAACCGATAAGCCTGCACCGCCACCCACAGTAAAGACGGACAAGCCCAAGCCTATAGAGAAGGTCGAGAAGAAAGAGAAAGTGGTGGTAAAAGAGAAACCCAAAACGGAGAAACCTAACATCCAGAGAAAGAACTCCGCCAAGTGATTCAAAATGGGCAGTTAAGTTTAAACAAATGTACAAATATACATTATGAAAATGCTGGTTTTTTCTACATGTTGGCTTACACCGAACCTATTCGGTTGGTAGGGCTACATTTTTTTTTTCATTCTTTATTTAGTGTGTATAGTTAATATAGTTAATGCATAGTGATGTGATATTCCCCCATACAAATTGCATTTTTTCCTTGAGGAATGTTGAAGAAAAAAATTATAAAAAAAAAGAAATAGTGTATAAAAATAATATTAAAGGTAATATGTGAATATTTAAGATTTATTAATAGTGTTAATTAATTACAAATATTATATAGTTACGTTTTTCAAAGGGAGACAGTGTAACGGTTATGTGTTAAATGGGAAAACTTCACATCATATAATACGGTACTGATAAAATTAATTTTTGGTGAAATTTGCCATAACATTAATAAGATCACATACATTAACTTTACTGATTTTTAAATTTGTAGTAAAATATATGTAAGTTTATCGTAGAATTATATTTGTGAAAAAAATCAACAATAAGGATGCTTTTTTGAAAGATTGATGCAATTAAATGTGTATGTATGCACGCGTTTTAAAACGCATTTAAAACTAACATTGAGGAATTTAGTTCGAATCACTGCCTTCCTGTGTTCACGGCCATGGCGTTTCAGTCAATGAGGGCATTCACGACTTTTTCTGCCACCAGGGCGGCGCCACTTTGATTGAGGTGAAATATTTGACAGATTAAATAGCGGGGGAAATTAATTTGTTAGAAAACTGTAAAGATTTCTTTCTAAAATATGAGTTAGATTAGAAATCGATAAACCAAACTTCTGACATTGCTAAAAGTAGAAGAATTTTAAAAAATAGTTACAAATGTGTAAAAAATTAAAGAACAAAACACTGAGACATTGTTTTGTGTATATACATACACTTGTAACAGACGAACTTTAATTTAAAACACAGCTTTTCAATGATGATGACACTTACCATCTCCGTAACAAATAAGTTCACCTTAGTCACAACTAGCGACATCTGGTGAAACTATTAGCCCTCATTAACGCCCTGTTATATTGAGACGGATAATTGCGACACTATCTACCTTTGAAAACGACGTTTATAAAAAGTTTTAGCCTAGTTTCGATAAGGCTGTCCATTTATCCTAAATAGCTCGTAAAAATTATTAAAAAAAAATCACGACTTTAAGCTGTGTAATAAAAAAAATGTATATTAAAATGCACATATGTGTCATGGGTATATAATAGATCTTTAAGTTTACCATAGGGTTAGTTGTGAGTGATGTTCTTTTTTTTAATTTTCCTTTCGTGAAAAAGACATTCAGGGTTGCTAGCTGTCGGGAGAAATTTACCGTGAATTACCGTTTTGGTAGAAATTGTTAGTCCATTTTGTTTGTAGATTTCAGTGTATTTTTAGATTTGATTACATTAATGTTAGACTTGTTACTTTCGTCTAGTTAGGTGGATTCGTATGACGTTTTTATTATTGATTTGTGTTTAGATTTAGATTACGGATTTGGGACGGTGTACAGAATGACATATTGATAAAAATTAAAAAATAAATTAACTAGTCTAAAAATAAAATTACCAAGGAACACGTTATAACTCGTCAAGTAACAAATGAACTATACAGTTGTATATTCTTCAAAAACTATAGAAGACTGGTTTTCTAGTCTTAAAAAAACTTTGAAAGAAAAAATTTCTACTAAAAAAAATACACAAATTAAAAATGTTACTGCTTTACTAATATTGATAATGCAATAAAGTGACTTATAATATAGAGTTCTATGTCGTTTGTTGCCACATCTAGGAAAATAGACAATTTCTTTTTGTATGGACAATGGGCCCACCACAAATTGTGGCGTAACTTAGTGAAATACATGTCGATTTATTCCTTATAATCGATAGATTACAAATGATTATATAATTGAAATTAATGGAAAAAAAATTCAATAAAATATAATTTTGAAAAATATATAATTTTAAATGACTTTTGTTTTTCTGTACTCACGTTGATCATTTCTAGTATAGCTTCAAAATAACCCTCCTTTTGGCTTTGCCGTGGTCAGGTAATTATAGATATAGGTCTGAAAAACAAAACCCATATTTTGAAGATTGCTTGTATATGTTTTTGTTTTTTGTTAAATTATAGATAACCAAACAAGGAGATGTATATCTTCTGTCTGTACGTCGTCCCGCACCAAGCTCACGTATTAATAATAAATTTTATATATTATTATAATGTACCATTGTAATGTAACATGTAATTGTATGGATATAATTTTTTTCCTTGTTTTTTGTCACAATAGCAATATTCTAAACTGTTTATAGACAAATTCCCAATATATGTAAAATATTACGATTGTGCTCGTTTTTGTTTAAACCTTTTCAATCAAAATTAAATTTATTCATCATCATCATCATCATTACAGCTAATTGCAAGTTCACTGCTGAACGTAGACCTCCCCCATGGAATGCCACGAAGTACGATAGAGTCACGCTGCAACTAAGTTATGGGCGTAGCACGAATGGGTCGATTCTTCCGGGGTAGGGCCACGCGCTCACAATATCAGCGTAAAATAGCAGTTTAGCGCTGCTGTGTTTCGTATGGTGAGTGTAGAGAACCGGAGACCCTTTTACTGGAAACGAGGCATTCCATCTTAGTCCTCACGGGTGATAACGTATCTGCATTTTGATTCTTATTCGAGGATAGATGTAGATGTCTATGTGCCACAGCATTCACTTACCATCAGATGGACTAAGTGCTCGTGTGTCACCCATATTCTATAAACAATTATAGAATAAGGGTGACAAATATATAAAATTTTATTTATTTAAATAAATAAAATACCCAGTCCTAGGGATGGGCAAGTGAAAAAAATATATCGATATTTTTTAAACAATATCGATATATATCACGTAATAATAATCGATGTATGGTAGGACGACGAAACAAAACGACAATAGCACATGAATGCTTATGTTGCTTAATGTTTTGTTGATTTATACAACATTTTAAAATAATACTAATTCGGTTCTCTAAAATATCGAGATAAAAAAATTCGATATATCGATATTTTTTACCAAAGCCTATCCAGACCGGCGACAGGCAGCAGCACAGCAGCGTCAAAAGTGTTCACGTTTAGTACTGCGTTCTGATTTGTCACTGTCAATCTGTCTGGAATACATGAAGAGCAGTATAGACTAACTGGCTGTTAAAAAATAAAAGGACCGTAAACTTTGTTCTTTAACCCTTCCCAAGGATGACAGTTAATACAAATTTGAACATTGTTCTTGACGTCACAGCGAAATGTTCTCCATAGCTCGTATCGCCGGGCAGCGAACCTCAAACCGCTTCTGCGAGTGCTACATAGCCCCACCACAGCTACACAGAGCAGCGCCACTTCGGACGCCACTTACTATCAGAACTCATTAAATTACCTATACACTGTACAGTCTACATATCGAAGTATATATTGGAGTTTTGGCGGGAACTTACCGACGGTGGATTGCTGCTCCTGCATTATTGTTTAAATAATGGTATGAAGTGGATTTTTATATGTGAAAGTGGTGAGATTTTGTGTGTTAAGTGCCTGCACATGTGAACTATTAGTTGAAACGTTGAAACAATTGCTCTGATAGTGATGTGATTCTCAGGATAAGGTGTCTGCTTAGGCGCCTTGAGATACCATCGCCAACTGTCTGCTGGCTCAAGTTGCCGTCAAAATTTCCCAAGGGTGTATGTGACGCATCAACATATGAAGCAGTGTACTATTAAAGATAATTATACATTGTAACTTCAGGCTCGGAAGGGCTAGAACCCAGAGCTGTAAAGTCAGTTATAAAAAAAGAAGTGTTTATTTAATTCAAGAATTCTACTAGCACAAGTGGAGCTTGAGGCCGGTCACATACATACCGAATTCCGTTTCGATATTCCGATTCGGGATTCTGAAAGCAGCAAGTCCATATAAAATCTATGACCCGCCACACACGTACGTTATTTTTCCGTACGGAATTTCTCCGATTCGAGATTCCGTATGACCGCCTATGCGTTCGGTATCCCGAACGGAAAAAAGCCGCACCGAACGCACGGCTTCCATAGATTTTGTACGAGTCGCAACACACATATTATGTAAATTCCGTTCGGGACGCGCTCAGTGTTACATAGATAAACACCTATATACCAGGAAATAACAAACATCAGCTAACGCAATTCCTTTGCAATGGGCTAGGCGTTGACGTAAAGGTATTGGTAGTTGAAAATCAGTATTTATTTAGATATCGTAGCGCATCCACTATTATTAATCGATTTCGGGGTGAAACAAAATATTTTCTTTTTACTTCATTCGGTAATTTGATAGCCGGGGCAGGACCATGCTCTCAGAGAATACCAGCGTAAAATAATATCTCGTATGGTGAGTGTAGAGAACCGGAGACCCTTTTTACTGGAAACGAGGATTTCATTTTGGTTCTCAGGGGTGACAACGCATCGGCATTTTAATTCTTATTCGAGGGTAGACGTAGATGCCTACGGGCCACAACTTCACTTACCATTAGGTAGGCTGTGTGCGCTTGTTTGTCACCATTACCATTACTTGTATTAAAAAATAACCTGAAAGAAAGTTTCTTAGGCTTACAACTATAATATAGATGCAGTGTGGCCCTACCTTTGTATTAATTGTACTTGTACCTGTGTAAAAATTTTCTGTCATGACGTCATAGTTACAGTGAGATAATTATCAACAAAACCCTCACAGGTAAAGTAGAATAGCAAGCAGTTATCTACCGACTTCAAAGAGGAGACGGTACTCAATTCGACTGCATGTTTTTTTTTGTGTGTTACCTCATAACTTTTCTGGGTGAACCGATTTCGATGATTCTTTTTTTTATTTGAAAACTTGCTTCTCATGTGGTCCCATATAAATTTGATCAAGGTCTGACCAAGAGTTATTCAGTTATTCTTAATAATTTATATTGAATTCGGTTGTACAAAATTTTTAATTTTAAAATATTATTTCAAGGTTTCAAGCCCATTTGCTTATTTATTTAAAAAATAAAAAAACATACTCCCTTCATGAATTTATTAAAACTAAAATATTCATAAAAATGACTTACACGGGGTATTTATAATCCATATCATACAAATAAATAACATAGACATGTGCGTCTGAGGTTAAAAATGTTTGCATTTTATTGAACGTTAGACAGGTATAGGTACGTTCTCTTCTCGAAACTGAACACTGCACTTGCTAATGCAGGCTAATATTACGTTCACCAGATGTTGCTATCTGAGACTGAGATGAAGTTATTTAGTACAATGCCTTAGTGCTGTATTCTTTTGTTTTTTACACATAATTAACTTTTTTAATTCATAGGAACATCCGCAGTTTGGTTTATTTAAATTAAGACTAGCAGTACTCTACTTCCTGCCCTAGTGTCCAGCTTACACTTACTGCCCAGCTCCTATTATAGCTAGCGTGATGATATACACTTATTCCAACGGTTTGACCCCTGCACAACTTTATAGTGAAAATCACATCCAAATATATTTACAGGTTTTTGCATGATGCATGTCCAAACAGACAGACAATGCTTACAAAAACAATAATGTACAAGTGTTAGTTTTATTATAGTGTATATATGTAGATAGATATTATTATATATTTATATGTGTAGATAGATATTACTTGTGTTGTTTCAGAAACAATCTCTCCACATTTTAACAAATTAACTTCCCCGTTATGATATCTGTCAAATATAATATCAACAAATGGGATGCGGGAAGTAAAGACTGTGTAAGAACCTGCGAAAGAGGCAGAGTTATAGCCCAAATAAGAATTTTAATTTTTTTGGTTTTTGGCCATTTTGACCCTAGGAGTGTAATGAGAACTTATTGCCCCTATTCAACCATGACCCACATGACATGACCTACATGATAGGCTATTCAAACTGACTAGACCTACAGTACGAGTCACCACCAACTCATTTCTAGTGTTTACTTCCAAATATTTAAAAAAAATACTTCGCCTCATTCCTAAATGTTGCCTCCCTGGTGAAAAGGCACAGTTCGACATGTAAAATAGTAAACTTATTCTTTCTTCCATATCAATTATATGAAATTGCTTAGTGTTCTTTTTTATATGGGACAATCGTTATGATGGTAACAGTGGCGAGGAGGACTTGCAGAAAAGTTGGCGTATAGGAACGTTGTAAGAAATCCATCCAATATCATCCTGTGGGTGAAGTAAGAGGCGATGTAACCATCTCGTTTAAGCCAGGCGTAAAATATCCAGACCGGCGACAGCCAGCCGCGTCAAAGCCTGACATATAATAAATCTGACAATAAAGGTCAAATCCTCCCCAAAATTGGAGACCCAGGTTCAGTACATTCAGCTCGTGAAGGTGTGCAACTGCGCAGGACAGAATTACAGAGCACGAGTGCACTCTCTATTCCCTAGATATATATAGCTCATAGACCGACCGGAAAGAGATCAGGCGCAGGACCGACGGCCTCACACGCTTTCAGGGGGCACGGGGGTAAAACACAGCCAACATCCTGACCCCGGGCTGCTACTGACAATTTTTGGCAGAAAAAACGCAACTACTAATTTTTGGTCCCGACCAGGCATTCAAACCCGGACCTTCAAGACCAGCAATTGCGCTAATAACCACGAGGTCAACATGGCAGTCAACAAATATCACTTTGTCAATCATTAGTTCCTGATAACAAATAAGTAATACATACAGTAGCTTGTATCAACGATGTAGTGTTACAATTACAAAACCACATTGTCAAACATTTTAAGGTTAACTAGAGATAACTCTTCTACAAGAATACTTCATTGGGCAAACATTTTTACAAAAATCATCTAAAACCCTAGACGTTCACATTCAATATAACAGTCAGTCAATGACACTGACAACACATTTTACTGTATATAATCTGTTCACTAAAATAGTGTCGGTACACCCGGAGGCGCACTTATTATTTTGCTTTTATGTTTTCTGTGTTGTTTAAATGTTTGTTTATTATAATATATAATAAAAGAGAATTGTAATAAAATATGAATATAAACAATAAACACAAGTTAGATAGCAAAGACCTTTTACTATAGAGTTTCTTTTTCAAACGCCAAATTCTCCTGCGGGTGTACGCCAAACGCGACCTTTGTTGTCGTGGCGGCGCCTTTGACAACATGCGGCACGCGCCAAGGCGGCGCGACACAAAGGCGACCGTATATAAGCGAACAGACTATAAATCTATTGCACGGTTGTTGTCGTATAACCTGGCACTTGTCCAGAAATTGAGCTATAAAAAAAATATAACTATACATTACTTCACATGCTCTATACAACAAAACAGTTCTATAAACAAAACTTTAGACACCGCATTTTGTATATGTCACAACTAAAAACTGAAGTGCGGTTACATCTAGATGTAGCCGGCTACATCTAGGTGCAACCGATTGTGGTTGGTCAACTTAGGTGTATTCAATATATTCATAGTTAAAACTATTTTTTTTTTAAATTAAAAATACTAGTAATGTTATTAAACATTACTAATATTCCCTTTAACCACTTCTGGTAAGCTTAAAATGCTTGTGTTAGAAGTGGTTCACGACAGTAGTCGAATGGCGGATTCGAACCCACGACCTCTCGAGTTCGCGGTCCGCGTGCTGCCATTAGGCTACTAACGCTTCAACTTGTACCTTTTGAGAACAAGTGGTAAAATTAAAAATTTTGTTCAACCCACTTCAATATGAAATAAAATGATAACATCATCAATGTATACGAAGTCAATTAGGTACGCACTATTAAGGATAACTCAAAAACTACTGGTCAGATCTTAGGGGTGTCGATCTGAGATCGATTAATCGAACAATCGATTTTTCAGGCCCAAAAGATCGATTTTTTAAATCGATATGTAGTACTGAATCGATCCAGTGAATTGATATTTCACCCTTGAAAATCGCCATTCGTTTTTTTTGTTTTGATAAAAACCATCAAATTATTTAAAATTAGTTGAATGTATCTGTAATATTACAGTGTTGCCGGTTAAAGGGTTAGTTACTCAAAAACTCTTTAAATTTGATTCAGATCTGGATCAAATTTATATGGGACCATTAGAGAGGCATCAGCTTTCAAATTAAAAAAAAATCTACAATATCGGTTATCCTAGACAGTTCTATACACATAAAAAAAACTAGGTCTTGTAGTCTGTATTAAATAACTATGACGTAGATAGGATATTTATTTGACGTGTATTTAATTGTGTACACACTTACGAAGTGAAACTTCTTTACGACACATCATTCCTTTTTTACTTTGTATATTACATAAGTATGTTCAAATAGTATACTCATGCAGCCCTGCTGGTGAAACTGTACAAGAAAATTTGACGTTTTTTTTTTATTACCATACTAAATTTCTCCACTATGTCGATAAAGATGTTTCACCTCGATAAAATTACTCCTTGCAACATTACTTCATTTTATAGATCATTTACTTTGCAAGCAGTCCGACTTTAGATTTCATTACGACTATACATTCAGCAAGTGCAATCTTTACTAACTTTTGTATTACTTAATGAATATTATTTGAATTTTCTATCATAAGGAAATGCCTTGCCCTTGAACCCTCTCAGGAATGAATTGAGGTCTATGCCCAGCAGTGGGACGTATATAATATAGACTGTAACTTTTACCTTTTCTATTACAATAATATATTAAATATCCTAACTTCATACATAACTTGATATGTATATATTATATTTTTATATCATGTTTATTTATCTATGATAATTACATATTAAATTATTATTTTAGTTTTTTTTTAATTCATGTAATATTGCATGTGCACCTATCCGTCATAATATTATCTCTTAAAGGAATATAACCAACATTTATAGTTTACTAGCTGGCCAGGCAGATGTTGTTCTGTCTTCTCCCACGAACCTGTATCCTATAAAAATTCTTAAATTCCTATCTCTCAAGTTGGACCAAACTGCACAGTGTTCAAAATTTCATTGCCATCAGTATAGTAGTTTAGGAGTTCATCGCAGACAAACAATGTGACTCGTAATTATATATAAAGATAAGTTTTCTATTATTGTAACTATTTTCAGTTTAAATGCAATATAGCGTTATTATCTATCTATCTATTCAGACTTTACCCAATGAGTCAGGAACCTATTGGGTGTGTATTGTATTGATATGTCATATTTATATAGTGTATTTCGGTAGAAGTTAATAGTTTAACTGTTTTTCTTTTTAAGATTTTTGTTAATTGTCCTTAATTTGCACCTACCAACATCTTTATTTTTATTCTATCTGTCTTAGGATGACTCTAAGAAATGCCATAGGGCATTAAGTACGTCCTTTGTAACCCTCAGTTGAAGGTGTATTGCAATAAAATATAAATAAAATAAATATATAGTTTTAAGTGAACCTAGGAAACCTAAGCTAATTATTTCTGCTGGTCATTACTGTACACACTGTGAATAAATAGAATACACATAAAGTTTGACCAACCGCAACCGGCTGCGTTTAGTATGCTTAACCTAGGTATGTCCGCACTCCAGCTTTTAGCCGTGTCAAATACACTTTTCCTAATAATTTAACAGTGTCAATACACAAGAGATCACTTTTGTTTGTACACTTTTATCCCAACGTAACACACCACGTCTCATTGTCTTCAGTTTCACATTCATTCAAAACATATTCAGTCTCCACTTCAACTTGAATTTGCGAGGATTGTTCAAACTCTGGTTGACATTCTATTATCTCTTCAACGGTTTCCGTTTCGTTTTGTTCAGAGTAATTCTGTTCAGAGTAATTCTGTTCAGAGGAATTCTGCTCAGATTCATTTTGTCCAATTAAACCGACTAATTCCACATATTTTTTCTTCTGCTCCTCCGTCATTGTTGCCGGGTTATGATATTTCAAATGATAGTTGAGATGACTGCTTTGTTTAAAACGCTTTTCGCATATCCCGCACTGGAAGGGGGACACATTGGTGTGAGTCCGCATGTGTTGTTTCAGATGGACCGACTGGCAAAAAGTCTTGCTGCATATAATACAGCGGTACGGCCTCACTTTGGTGTGAGTCCTGGTGTGCTGGTCCAGTCCCGACTTCTGGGTGAAGGTTTTGGAACAGACCTCGCAGGAGTAGGGACGGTAGCCTGTGTGCATTCGAGTGTGCTGCTGCAGGCCACCTTGCTGTGTGAATCTCTTATGGCATATCATGCACTCGAACGGCTTTAGTTTGACATGAGCTACCGATCTGTGATCTGATAGCTCTTTGCTAGATTGGAAGCCAACTCCGCAAATCTGAAACAAAACAATAATTTCTTATATTTACATAAATTTAGAGCCGCTCAGCTGAGGGACTAAGTGCTCAGTGAACATTTAACATTACGTGAACCACACATGATAAGTCTACCGCTGAATCCTACCTACCTATGGATACAACCTATCTTCACAGGTCACACCTACAGATTGCTCATGGGGCTCATGCATATATACCAATATTCCATACCTGACAAACTTAGCAAGCAGGTTGGCATCATTGCCCATCTCTTGTTTTTTTTTTTTCACTTTTCCTTTCACAATCTGTTTGTGAGGTAGAAAGTGATATGACCATCAATTGTGATTCATAAGCTTTTCCAGAATTCTTGTAACTATTTTTTAACTCCCGACGCAAAAAGAGGGGTGTTAAAGTTTGACCGCTATGTGTGTCTGTCTGTGGCACCGTAGCTCTTAAACGGGTGAATCGAATAGGGTGCGGCTTTTTTTTTTAATTTAAAAGCAGCTTTTGTAGCCGTGGTTCTTAGACATGCTGTATCAAAATCGGTACAGCCGTTTGAAGGTCATCAGCTCGTTTTGTTTCGGGGCTTTTTAAAATGTTCAATTTTAGTTATTATAATTGTTTATATGATAAATCATAAAGATTTATCTTTTTATCGATCTATTTTTACATACTTTATCAAACTAGTAATGACCAAGATTATTTTTGAAGTTATACTTCTTTTGGGGCGTTTGGGAAAAATTATGAGTGTGAATTTTTTACGATACGCGCGCACACGGACGGCTAAAAACGACACCATGAAGTTGTTAAATTACTGACAACTTAAAGCGACAACTTCAGTGGGTAACTGTCTCGCCAGTTTTCGTGGGAGCTGATAACTATATTTAAGTTAGTTGTTTTTGTTTTGTTACGCTAAAAAAGTATAACTTCCTACGTGCGTACATAAGTACACACACACACACGTTTTTTTTTTATAAAACTGAAATGACAACCGAACTAATGAACTAACTTCAAACAAATAGACTGCAGATACAGTCTCGCCTCTGAGAACTAAAATGGAATGCCTGTGCCTGCAATTACGCTGGCTCACTACACCCTTCAAACTAAAAAACACAGAAGTACAGGCACTGTTATTTGCCGGCAGAAATTGGTTGGTATCACAGTGCTCTGCCGTATCTACCCAAACGGAGTCCTGCTCACCTTTATTGTATGACAAGTCACAATATCCTGTATATTTATTTTTCACTCACCTCACAATTGTATAATGACTGGTTCTCGTCTACAGCGTTAAGTGGTTTCTCGCAGACTTGACATTTTAATCCTTTGCGTCTCCTTGTGTGCTCGTCCCGGTAGTGTATGGAATACTCGCAACACGAGAAGAATATTTGGTGACAGGTTCCATCCGCTATCAGGTTAGATGGTTGGAGGCATTCAAACGGACCCCTGTAAAGATAAGTATATATGTTTAATTCTTTATTAGCCCCTAAAAGTATTTTATAAAGAGATTTTTTAAGGGGCCAACGGGACCAACGAGCACACAGTTCATACAATGGTAGGTAGTTTCTGTGGCTCATAGACATCAGCATCTATCCTCAATTAAGAATCAAAATGTAGATGTGTTGTCACCCACCCTTCAAGACTAAGCCCTGGTCCACAGTGCGAGCCTGGCACGGTTACCACGACGCGACGGGCGCGAAGTATCAAACATATGAAACCGCCGTTTGCGTCCATAGTGTAGTGACTAAGGCTGGCGCCTGGCGCGACGGGCATGAGCGAGATAGTGCGCGTAGTGTTCAAACGTTCCTCGCGTTATGGCCACACTACGGGCCTAGTCTGCAAGCGACCCAATGCTCAGCCACCCAAGGTATCAAACCAGTTCGGTTTTATCGCTCGGCGTTTTTTTTGTTGATGATTTTAGGTGATATTTTACTCATGATATAATCAAATGTTGACACGGATATTCTCAGTATAATCTCAATTCTTCATACAAAGTAAAAAATTCACCATTTATTTCTCTGGGTTTTATTTATTTCGCGTACACCCTCTCTCTTATGCTCAACGTATCCCATCTCAAGATCAAACTGTCTAGTAAAGATCGCCATTGTTTACAACACCTGAAATACGGTCTAAGTCCTCCAACATTGCTCGTCACTGTGGTCACTGCACGCCCCTGCCGTCGCGACCGCAACACGCTCTAGTTGCCACGCATTCACTGTGGACGCACACCAAGATGGAATACCTTGTTTCCAGTAAAAAGGGGTCTCCAGTTCTCTACACTCACCATACGAAACACAGCAGCATTAAGCCGCTATTTCACACTGGTATTCTGTGAGAGCGTGATCCTTCCCCGGTCCAGCCGACCCTTTCCTGCTACAACCATACTGCGGTTCTACCACGTAAAACAGTAGACATATTTTTTTTACAGAGACACCTTTAATGCTGCTGCCCCTTTCCTTTCCTCTTTCCTTTTCTTTCTTTCTTTCTATCCTTTCCTTTTTTTTATTTTACGTTTGGAGTAAACGAAATGGTTACACCGTCGTCTGTAAGATTTTTCTGGCATGTCCCATAGTCGCCTTTTACATGTCGCATGGGAAGAAATGAGGTGACGAATCTTTTTATCTTTCACGATGCCAGCAGCCAGCGCAGTCGCAGACTAGCCATCTGCGTCGGACAGGATTATAGTGCACGTGTTTTTCGGATATCTATATAATCTTTTTCGTATTCATCGTTGGTGATGATACCCTATCATCATTATCATCATACTCAATATTTTTCATTAAAACAAAGATCGTTTGTGAAGTTTCGAAGTGTCCACACCACCGGTCCTACCATAATAATGTCCTCCAGACAGTGCTTCGGTCTCAACGGAGACTAGCCATCAGCTCAGGACAGGATTATAGTGCCCAAGTGTATGCGCAAGCACAGGTGCACTCTCTATTGCCTCACTCATAGTCCGATGGGACACCAATCCAACACTGTCAGAGAAATCAGGTGCAGGACCAACGACTTCATGTGCTTTGTAAGTCACGGGGCTGAAACACTGCCAAAGTTCTGACTCCAAGTTACCGCTGAGAATTTTTTGACACAAAAACCCAACTACTGATTTTTGATTCCGATAGAAGATACATGTAAGGAATAGTTGACATGTTGTGCTCGTTCATTAACCTTATTTGGAAATAAATAATAGAAAATTGTATAATAAGTTACTATGTGGATTTATGATAGAACACCTGACTGACCTGACTTTTTAATACAGTAAGAAATGTATAATAAAGTGGATGCTGTGGCCCATAGACATCCTCGATTAAGAATCAAAATGCAGAATCGTTGTTACCCGTGAGGACTAAGATGTAATACCTGATTTCCAGTACAAAGGGTCTCCAGTTCTCCACAGTCACCTATTTTACACTGGTATTGTGTGAGAGCGTGGTCCTTCCCCGGTGGAGCCAACTCATCCGTGCTACAACCATAATATTGCTGCAGCGTGGCTCTACCACGTACAAACTGCCTCGTTAGGCTAATGAACATAAACACAACTGCTTAAAGTAAACAGTTATTGAGTTTTTCGTCGAGAAATTCCCAGTAGCATCCTGGAGTCAAGAACTTAGTGTGTTATCACTCCCGTGCCTCGGAGAGCACGTCTTTGAAATATTATAACATTGGTCCTGCGCTTAATCTTTCTCTCGTCATGTTGGATTGAAGTCCCATCGCACTATGATAGTGAGGCAATAGAGAGCGCACCTGTGCTTGCACATACACTCATGCACTATAATCCTGTCCTGTGCAGATGGCTAACTTCGGTAGAGACTGACCGCCGTGACCGAAGTTCGGTCTGGAGGACATTATTGTAGGCTGTAATGAAAATGTGAATTGGTCATTAAGGTGAAATATACTTACGTTATGGGTGGAGGGTCTTTTTCCTTCTTTGGTGTAGCGACTTTTGTCTGTTTCTCTTTCTTTCCTTTACTCATCTTATCCAACCTTCTCCTCTTAACAGGCTCGGGGCAGTTTTCTGACTTCACTATAATGTAACTGACGTCTTTCGATGCCAGGGAAACTAAGTTGGTGGGGCCCATGGTGGCGATGAGTTCCCTCTTTTTCTGTTCAATCTCATTTATCTGATCATCTTCATCTGTTGACGGTCTTTTGGGCTATCGGGAAATATGAGAAAATTAAAAAAAATATCGAAAGTAAGAACCAATACACTCAGGCCTTTTTTGTAATGTCTGCAAAACCAACAGCATTGTGTATGTGTGTGTGTGTGTGTGTGTGTCATTATTGGCATGTTGCGAAGAAATTGGCCTGAATAAAATTTTAATTAATTTCGGTTGTAATTTACACGAAATATTTTGCGTGCGTAGCAGGTACTGAGAAAAAATTTCAAGTGTCGTAACATAACATAAACTCTCACGCCTATCACCCAGAGGGGTAGGTAGAGACTAAGGACTACCATCCTGACACACCTCTCTCGTATCTTTCACATCCTAAGGCGTCGTCCTAATACAACGCGAATACGCGATCATCGCAGGAATTGACGATGCGAGCGGCCGCGGGTTTCGCTTCGCTTTACAGTTAACGCATGGCGTTGCCGCTAAGCATGAAGCATGGACGTCAGAAACTGCTGGTCTTGAAAGCAATGAAAAAAATCGGCTGTCTGTAAAGTCGGTTTACTGACGATAGTTGAACGTGACAACGTCATAAGAAAATACACATGTAAATGTATTATTGTATAGCAGCTGTCCATGCGGACGCATCGCTCACTCAAGTAGGAGAGAGACAGATGTCGAACGCTGCGGAACGCGGAGGCCGATTGTGCCTCTTTGTCGCTCGTTCCGCGCTCTCGCTTGCACTTCCAGCCTTAAATGGAACGCCTCAGAGCGAGGTAACGCCGCATGAGTCATGTTTTTTCGTGCGTGCAGCCAGCTTCATCGAATTGGAAGACGTTGTCACGTCAAACACGAAATGGATCGCAGTGTGCTTTGTTGGAAATGAGACCGATACGTGACGAATTTCGGGTCGGAAAATCGGGTCGCTGCCCTACACCCCGCTGCCCGACGACACGACGCGTTTGTCACGCGAATGTCAATTAGGACACCTATTCGACAGCAATATGTTTGATTGCGCGTTCGTACGAGTAAAATTCGCGCGAACTTACGATGATCGCGCATTCGCGTTGTATTAGGACGACGCCTTACCCTCCGGCTGCACACACTCGTCCACTGGCATGAGAAGTATAGAGGAAAGGAGGCAGAGACGTAGTGTGGCCACAATACTCGTCATGGCGCACGTCATGCTCCTCGTCACGCCCTTCGCTCCCTGTGTTGTCGGTATTTTTGGGCGCGAGTCAAACCGACTGGCAATATGAGCGCGAGTGGATGGCCACATACTCGCGTAAACGCAGTCCGAATCGAGCGCCCGTTACGGAAACGTCGTTTTATTTCGATGAATAGATGTCATCCACCATCATCTCCGTTGGCGAGAACAACGACCTATACTTCTTTTTTATGACATTGATATAATTAGCTTTACTAAATATGCATATAGCGCGCATGCTGCCGCAGTTGTATTGTGTGTTCCAAACGCGACCAACCTATTGCGGAGCGTCACGCTTAATTGCACTGCTCTGTGAGTGGGCAGAGGGCAATATCGCGGCAACGCGAGGAGCACAACGAGGAGCATAGTGTGGCTGAGCCAATACATATATGCATGCTCGTCAGTTAAGGGTATTATTAATTTTACCCATAATCATTATATCGCCAATTAGTTTGATAAAAACTCCGTCTGGAGCGTCCGTTGGCATCTCTGCTACTCATTAAGCAGAGCTCACAACTCACCGAAAGTACATTCGTCCAAACGGATGGGTCTCCCGTCGCAAACGCATCTATGTGCTCCATCCGCGCATGGTTCCTCAGGGCTACGTCACTCGCGAAGTTCTTGCAGCATAACTTGCACGACACCTTGTCCTCATCCTCATCTTCGGAACGTATCTCCCTCTGCAAGGGATTTTTCATTTATTTGTTTATTTTATTCATTAACTTTTTGCATTTACCATAAGGTGGTCATGTCAAACATATGGATCATCATTATCAAACGGCCAGTGACCAAAAGCATCAATTGATTCTTTAAGTCAAATTAAAAGAATTTAATTGCCTACTTAATACGACATCCAGAACATGGATTTTCTTAAGTCACTAACATGTGGCGAATCCATTCAACATTCATTTATAAATCATAACATTTTATCAAAATACCCCAGCTGACCATAGGCCTCCGCTATGATTGCCTCATAGGAGTGTGGGTTATTTGCCATAGTTGCCACGCTTGGTAAGCAGTGGTATAGCCCACAGTTAGACCAGTTTTTTTTAATTCTTTTGGAGTTGTAATCACGAAGATTGGGTTAGTGGATTTTCTTACCCCACCACTACAAGGCTTACTTGTTTTTTTAATTGTGCAAGCAACTATGCAGGTCTAGAAAGACCAGTGTCACTGTCACCTGTAATTTTGTTTGAATTGTGATCGCTGCTATGTCTACAGTTTACTGCGCTAAATGAATTGAAGGAGTTGCTTAGCTGTGTACAATTTCACTTGCTCTGGGCTAAGAACGTAGTTTCCCAGACGAGTGTTACGTTTGCGCAGTCTCTACTTATAAGACTTGTAGATAAAGTTCAATAAATTCAATGATGCCATCGCTATACGTTTTTTAAATTCCGAGTCTTTTCGCTCAGTTTCTAACTAAAGATTCTTTTTCCATTTCTGTTTGAGTAAATCTATTTTAAACTTTGTATACTTTAATATAGAGTTTAACACCCCCGCCTTAAGGAATTGTCTCATATTCAACAGTACATCCATTGCTGAACTTTTTCTATAGATTGCTTCATAGGGAGGATTTTGCCATAGTTGCCAGGATTGGCCAGCGGGTTGGCAACAGCAGTTCTTTAAATATTATTCCCTAAATTCCCTCTGTCGACTCTGCCGTGTAGTAAGAATATCCACTACCTTATGTCGTACCGTGGGTGTCGTAAGAGGCGACAGAGGGAAACTGAAACTGAAATAGTCAACAGTAACTGGAGCTGTATAAGTTGAAATTTACACAAAACGAGAGCTTTACTACTTTTTCTTCATCAGTTTGGGCACCTGGGCACTCACTAAAGTACATATTAAAAACTTAGAAACTTGCCAAAACTCCACGGAAAGGAGTATGATGGGAAAAAGACTAACCAATAGAATAAGAAAAGAAAAACACGAAAACAAAAGATGTCACAATAATAATAAAAAAGTTAAAATGGAAATGGTCATATAATTAGAGGAAAGGAGCAATGGTCCAAACCGATAATGAACTGGTTTACAGGTCATATGAAAAGGAAAAAAGTTAAACCATGTAGAAGATGGGAGGATGACATTAAAGCCATAGCAGGAGGCATATGGACGAGAACTACTAAGGATAGATAGGAATGGACAAGGTTGGTGGAGGCCTTTGCCAATAAGTGACATACAGAGAGGGTTGTCGATGTACAATAGTTAAGTGTTGAGAGTGTAAAAATATATAATATATAATCCAGTGTTAGATATAGACTAATTAAGATAGATACTGTTAATAATATACTGTCTGAAATAAAACCTATTATTATTATTATAAGATAATAACAATATTATTATTATCTTCATCAGCTCATAAACGCCCACTGTAAACATAGGTCTCTCCAATTGTAGTGGGGAAAAACCTTAAGCACTACACTTTGCAGGTGGATTCACAAACGCAAAACCATCTTTGATGCTGCTTTCAGTCACTGGTCTCAGATTCTTCTATAGAATAAGGGTGACATTTAGCACACAGTCCACCTGATGGTGGACCACCAGTGGATGCTATGACACATAGACATCTACATTTATTCTCTTATTAAGAATCAAAATGCAGATGCTTTGTCACCCTGAGGACTAAGATGGAATGCCTTGTATCCAGTAAAAAGTGTCTCCGGATCTTTACACTCACCATATGAAACACAGCGGCATTAAGCTATATCTGCTATTTTACGTGATTATTCTGTGTGAGCAAAGTTCTTCCCCAGTTGAGCCAACCTATTCATAATGCAATCATAATATTGCTGCAACATGGCTCCACCACATTATACAACTTAGTGACTTTGTAAGGCCATAGAGTCATTGTCAGCCTGTAAAAGTGCCCAGCTGGACATGTGCCTCTACTGTCCCAGAGAGGATTGATTGGCAATTGCCAAACATCTCACACATTTGACCTTGCTTACCATCTACATGCAAGTAATTTAAGTCTGGTTTTGACTAGATGGTTTTACCACCAGCTATCGAAAACCATTAGATATCTGATTTTTTTTTTTAAGGATAAGGGTGACAAACTAGCACACAGTCCATCTGATGGTAAGTGGTTGCTGTGGCCCATAGACATCTATATCTATCTTTGATTAAGAATCAAAATGCAGATGCGTTGTCACCAGTGAGGACAAAGATGGAATGCCTTATTTCCAGTAAAAAGGGTCTCCGGTTCTCTACACTCACCTTACGAAACACAGCAGCGTTAAGCTGCTATTTTACGCTGGTATTCTGTGAGAGCGTGGTCCTACCCCGGTCGAGCCGACCCATTCGTGCTACAACCATAATATAGCTGCAGCATGGCTCTACCACGTAAACCACTGGTTCACGGAAACCATGGAAAGAAATCAACCACCATCACACAGCATTTGCTAAACACTAGTTTTAAATAGAATAAAAAAAAATACCTTCACTTTAACTAAGGGCACCACATTGACAGTCCTCACTATTTTGCCTGACATTTTGTCTGCAATAATATAAAAAACATATTATTCTTCGAGCTTATATCAAAGGCCAGCCTGTAAATAAGTAATGTGTTTTTAAGGTAATAGTGAATAGGACTTCGTCAAGCCTGACTTGGCTGCTTGGAGCGCTTTACCATCTTCAGATATATCGCTGGTTACCAGCTGGGTGAATAGTCAAATATTTTAGATTAGGAAGGGTTATTTTCTACAATTCCACGTCTAAGTACGTATTTTGCATGTTAGTCAAGCACTTTTATTAGCATAAAACAAAATTAAATAATCTTAAACTGGAGTAGACAAAATGCATGCACAACATGAATAGTAGTCAAGCTTATAATCTAATATATAAAAATTAATGTTTGTTTGTTCGTATTTTAAGATTGTGAACTTATTGCTTGCTTACTTGTGTGATGGTTATAGGCATAGTACAATTAACTTACTATGGTGGCACCCATATTGTACAGACAAATTTATTTGAAAGTTATATGTCATTCTATTTCAATGAATGTATTATCATTTCTAATTAAAGGTATATTAACTGTTCCAAATTTAAAATGGTATTTAAACAATTATTTCTTCTGCAGTATCGATGGGCCAGGTACCAGATAGTAGTTAATTAGTCAATAAAAATTTAATACTCTCATGTCCAAATACTGAATCGCTGCACAATTTTAAGATACCGTTAAGTCTTGTGCTGTCTCTCTATCATTTTAAGTCAAAGTGACTGTGAAACCATGAAACATGGAGCCTTACAGTGGGATATTTTCAAAAGTTACCATACTCGGTAATAGGGTAAAATATTATAAAACTACAGTTACCAACTGTAGTTTTATAATATTTTGAGTTGATATTACATTCCTCCCTCACCTCTTACGACACCCACAGGATAATAACAGTATATTAATAAATTTTTATTCTTACTTTCATTATACTAAAAATTATATGGATTACATTACAACTGTATGCAATACAATTTAGTTAAATATGAACTAATATTGATAGCGGCAAAATGGTTTCAATTTTAGTAAAAATAAGGGTTTGAAAAAAATATCTCTTAAAATTAAATGGTCATCACCATTTACAGTAAAAGTAGTGCTTTAAATACACTATTTGTTTTAAAAGCAATATAAAACATACTCACAATACATTCAAAATCAATATAAAATTTTTCAAAATCACACCAAAACAGCGGGAACAAAAAATGACAAAATAACTTTTTAAAACCTAGATTGAAATGAATACGAGGTCTAAGTAAATTAAAAAAAAAGTACATTCAAGAGAATAACGAATTGAAACTTTTATAACCAATTAATGAAAGAAGTTATACAACAATCGAGTGCTGTGAAATTATTTAAATAAAATCATATTTTAGGCCTCTCAAAACAAAATTTTGTAATTTTGTATGTCAGAGAATAGAGTGGCTTTTGTTTTTTTTTAATTAAAAAAAAAGAAACGGTAAAGAAAAAAGTAAAAACTATGGTAAAAATGTCAAAATGTTATGACATACTTTGACCTGCCCAGTTGAATATATATCAGTAGAAGACTTAAGATTTGGAAAGAAAATTATACAAATTCACTAATTTAGGACCAGATTTAAGTAAGAAACACACTTCACAGTCGCCAAGCCGCCATTTCGTGATTCATGAAATTCATGCATAGATATTTTAGAGAGCTTAAAATATTGTCTATGGTCTATTATAAATATGATGCATTAAGCGTGGCGTGGGTGATAGCAAATTTTAAAAACATCTTTCAGTCCTAACCAATATCCGAATTAGGATATTGTACCATTCTGTACAATATCCTAATTCGGATATTGGTTAGGACTGAAATTAATATGAAGTGGACAAAACACTTTATCGTTCGATATTGCATATCCCATCTGAATAGCGACGATCGATGGAGATATGGATTTTGGCGGGAATTTGACCGCCGTCGAATTGTTACTTCTGTATTATCGTATAAATAATAGATTGAAGTGGATTTTGATTAAGTGGTGAGATTTTGAGAATTAAATATTTGAGAAAACATGTTCATTATTGGAGGATACGATTAAACAAGTGCTCCAACGGTAATATAAATGTCAAGGGTTTTATTCGCTTGGACGGCTTGAGATACTATCTTTACTAACTGTCCATTAAGTCAAGCTATAGTCAAAATCTCCCATAAACTTTGCAATGTGACGCATGAGCATATTGTGAAGAACTTAATGAATAAAAATACACATCAGACAAGGCTGTATAATGTAAGACCTTTGCCTGCCTTAATTGGCAGAAGATCGTTACAACAAAAACTTCTTGTTATTTGTATAAAATGGATTTTGTTATATTGGTTGAGGCCAGGCATAAAGCAGCATTACTGACGACGGAAAGCAGCATCAAAGCTGCGATCCTCAGTCCGCCTGCCAAGCGTAACAATTAAGGCAAATCCTCCCTACAACGGGAAAGATGATAACAATTTTTATGACTTAGAATATATGGTATGGACCTCACAAACCGGTGGACCCATCAGTACGATGCCACTTGTCGTCACACTGTACGGGAAACATTGAATTTATTGGATGATAAGTTCGAGGGCTTCGTCATCTCGGGTGGTGGCGACACCAACTGGCTACCGACATCGTGTGACTTAATATCGCTCGACTACTTTCTGCGGGGCTACGTGAAATCTTTGGTCTGTGTAGACAAACCACAGACAATTGCCGCCCTGAAGGCCAATATAACTCTCATTCTTCATGAAATTGAGCCCCATTTATGCGAAGATGTCGTTCAAAATTGTTTCACCAGGATACACCAGCTAAATAGCAGAGTCGCGGCAGCCATTGACTGAAATTATATTCCATACATAATGTCCATCAAATGTCCTTTAAAATAAAATAAAAAATTTGGCAATATCACTTAGGCACAGAGATTGTTATATTTCATTTCAAAGTTCGAAAAACCCTGTACATCCATAACCTCCGCATAATTAAAGCTACCTTTTTCTTTTAGTAAAATAATGGGAATTGCATCCCTTTCACTCTTTCATTTTATAGAGTGCTATTTCCCTCTTTCAGATTTTGCCATTGTTGGCATTAGTTGTTTAGTAAGGTAACCCCCATCCGCTGTTGTTAGTTATGAATACAACAACCATATATTGTTATAATAAATATATCTGAGAATAACAACCGTTGTGAATATGACAACTATACCAGGTTACTTCATAGATAAATAAATATGTAGCAATTTAGTTTATTTAGTTACTATGTTACTAAAAGGTAACAACTGAAACCTTAAATTGTCGGTTTCCCGCTAGTATCTTCTCTACAGTAGACTATAGAAGCAAATGTTGCCATAATATGCTACGTCTGGTGTTTAATTATTATTTGAACAAAAACTGCTAGTTTTGTCAATAAGTAGGTTACTAAGGAATGTAATTTCAATACTATAAAATAATGACTGCTAAAGCTACAACCATTAAAGAAGCCATTAAAAGATGGGAGGAAAAAACTGGTCAACAAGCTGCGACAGCTACAGAAGTGAGTCTAACTTTTCAGTGGCCCCCTATAGAGAAGATGGATAATACCTTGTCCTGTTTAGTTAACTGCGAGTAAGTATGCATTAATTTTAAGAACCATGTAGGTATATAAAGGGTTTACATTTTACTGCCTAGCGACTACAGATAATTAGTGACCAATAGATTTCAAAATGTCTTTACTCTTTGCCTTTTTTTTATTGATATAATGATGCGATTATCTGTACTACATATACAGACCAAATACAATGATTCGTTGAACAAAAATTGTAACTTTTAAAATTTAATCAGAGTAGCCAAATTTTAAACTTAAGTTAAAATATACAAATAATGATATACCGCTATAGCAGTTTTTGAAAATACGATTAAGTAAGGCTTATACTTTCTTATGAAATTATCCCAAATTGAATGTGATTTATGGGCAACAATGTTTTTGCCTACCGATCGACCCTTACGAATGTTTGCGTGCGCAGTATAATCAGTTAAAATAATGCATTAAAAAAGAAAAAAGAACAGATTTTTTTTAATTAAGTTTTCTTCAACATTTGCCTATACCTTAGTTCAGAATATATAATTCTGAACTAAGGTGTTCGACGTCCCAATGTCATAGTAAAACTAAGTAGACCTTCAGTTTAAAATTATTAATTTTTGGTCCAAGCTTGGTTTGGGATTTATTTTTATTAACTATAGGGTCCTAGGCAGATTGTAGCACCCAGCCATCATCTTTATTGAAATTAGAATGTTTTTTGATTTCAATAGCCTCGCGAATCGATGTTCTTTTGCGAGGATTTGTGGTCTATCAAATCTGATGTGATGGCGGGATGGGTACGCATGTCCGTATTCTTGATAGGGATTATGTACAACAGGGGATTTGAAAAATCTGTTGATGAATTAGGTTGATGATATCTCATCATCAACCTAAGTCAGGGGTCGGCAACCTGCGGCTCGCGAGCCACAGCGGCTCTTTGGATGTGAAGCTGCGGTTCCTTAGTTTCATACGCAAATATTATTTATAATATAACAAAAAAAAATTGAAAATCGAGCTACACTGAGCCATTTGGAGTTGATACTGGATCTCTAGAAATGCTATTCATCGATTCAAAAAGTAAAGCTTTGTGGAGTTGAAAATTTACAGAGTTGAAAAGCAAGTTGAAAAAGTTGGAGGTCCAGAAATGTATGTACGTAACACAACAAAAATGAACAGCTTGAAAAGAAATGCCGCGAGTTGAGGCACTTATCTAAAACCATGCAAAGCCAACGCTCCCATTGGTGTTGTTAATACCAAATATATATATATATATATATATATATATATATATAATGTAATAATTAGATAATAATAGAAATTACATTCTAATTTATTTTTCTTATGAATAAATAATTAGTTTTTTTTTATCAAAAAACTTTATTTATGCAAGTACTATTTATGGTTAGCAAGAAAAAATATTTGTGGCTCTATAAAACTTTGAAATTTTGTAAATTTTAATTTTTGACTCTTCCGACTCAAAAGGTTGCCGACCCCTGACCTAAGTCATTAACAGATTTTTATACGAGCTTAGAATATTTAATTAAATGCAGTCAATCAAAAGTTTACTGCTGAACACAGGCCTCCACAAAGATTGCCTTACATATTTGCTAGAGTTGTTACGCTTGACTTCAAAAAGAGGAGGTACTCAATTCGACTGTAGTTTTTTTTATGTGTGTTACCTTATAACTTTTTTCTGGGTGAACCGATTTCGACGATTCTTTTATTATTTGAAAGCTGGTGCTTCTCATGTGTTCCTATATAAATTTAATGAAGGCCTGACCTGTTTTTGAGTTATACTTAATAATTAATATTAAAGTCGGTCCTACAAAATGTTTAATTTTAAATTCTACTTGAGTTAAGTTGTTATCAGGAAGATGCTGCTGCCCATCTCCTGTTTCAGTTTCCTTCTGTCGTCTCTTATGATACCCACGAGATGATATAGAGTATAGTGGATTCACTTTCACCGCATTACACGGTCTCCGTGGCGTATTGTATAAGTGATTCCTTAGTGGATACAACTGATAGTGACGACGCAAACTGAGTTTTTATTTTTCAGGAAACTTAGTTTATCGACGAATATGATCGAGAAGGTAACAGGTCTAAACAGCTTGAAGAAGCTTCGCGTTTTGTCTCTAGGACGAAATTATATAAAATCTTTTTCGGGAATGGTAAGGCGGTTTACGAAATTATTGTTCAATAAATTGAAATCTAGGTTAATTATCCCAGCGAATATTCATAGAACTATTTAATAAAACCACAGAATAAATATAAAACTAATTTTGCTCATTTCAACAGCTTTTATACGTGAAGTGTTGTCGCAACGTAAAATAATTCATAACCCCGTATCGTCCCGTGAGTGTCGTATTATGGAAAATGCCTTTACTTACCTCTGGGCCGGGTGATTCCAGTACCAGTTTATTTCTTTTGACTTGTGTATTAATTTGGAAGCTAAGAAGAAGAAGATTTAAATTATCAATGACCTTTTTTCTGATCTTATTTAGCTGGCTTTGCGAAGTGACATTTTATAGATTTGCGCTTTTTATAGCATTTACCTACCAAGGCAAGTGTTGACGACAACGGGAACAGTCTTGCTAAACAGCAGCGTGTCAACCGTCGCGCGGTTGCAGCGACGCAATTCTAGCGCGAAGTATTTATTTTTATGGCCTACATATAATTGTTTCTCAATTTGATGATCGTTTATGTATGTAAAATTATACCTTTATGATACTGTAAAAGTTCTGTTGGGGGTAACGTTTCCTCCACATCCATTACACATAAAAATCCCACTATTGAACATAAGGGAGGATATGGGTGAGACCAAAAGATTTCGATTTATTCTATTTGAATTTTTAACTGTAATTTAGCTATAGTTGCCACGTTTTGCAGACGGGTTGACCACAGCAATTTTTTTTAAATATTATTTTTATTATTTTGAGTTGTCATCAGGAAGACGCTGCCAACTCCTATTTCAGTTTCCCTCTGTCGCCTCTTAAGACACCCAAGGGATGATATTACGGGGTAGATATTCTTACACCGCCTCTACACGGTTGAGGGTAACGTTCAAATAATCTGAATTCCATTAACACCGCCTTGATCGTAACATCATTGTGTAGTTGTCTTGTAATTTTTGTCGCTTACGAACACATTGTGGAATTTGTTCTAGATAGTAGATTTGCGAATCGATGTGACCCAGTACATAATCGAAAGCCATTACATTTCTATGGTATTTCCGATAGTTTCATCACACCATTGGAACGAAATGGTGTGATGGATTATCTATGTCGCCACAACTCGGCCAGTTGATAGCTTTTGATTATTCGGAAGTACTGTATTCAAAAGTTCCAATTGGAAGTAGTTATACAAAAACGTTCCAACCCACAAGTCATTCAAAAATGAGTTAAATATACAGATCTACTTATTTTGAGATCTTCATATGACGTAGTTATACAAAAACGTTCCAACCCACAAGTCATTCAAAAATGACTTAAATATACAGATCTACTTATTTTGACATCTTCATATGACGTAGTTATACAAAAACGTTCCCACCCACAAGTCATTCAAAAATGAGTTAAATATACAGATCTACTTATTTTGAGATCTTCATATGACGTAGTTATACAAAAACGTTCCAACCCACAAGTCATTAAAAAATGAGTTTAATATACGGATCTACTTATTTTGAATCGCTTTGCGAAGATGTCAAAATAAGTAGATCTGTACATTTGACTCATTTTTGAATGACTTGTGGGTTGGAACGTTTTTGTATAACTACGTCCAATTTATCTTCATTTTCATAATACATGAACCACTAGCGCTTCCATATTATTTAGAATTTTAAAGTGTCGTAGACTCGTGGATGATGATAGCGCTTAGATTTAACAAACAAACAAACTGCAGGAATCACTTGGTGACACTCTTGAAGAGTTGTGGATATCTTACAATTTAATAGAAAAACTGAAAGGGATAAACGTTTTAAGAAGTTTAAAAGTACTGTATATGAGCAATAATCTAGTGAAAGAATGGATCGAGTTCAACAAACTTCAGGTAAGACGGTTTTGCTGATACTGCACAATCGTCCAACCGTCTAATCTAACTTCAGTCGTTCGCCTGAACATGAGCAGTATCGGACGAACTACAAAATTTTTATACGTGGTAGAGTCATGCTGCAGCTCTATTAGTAGTATAGTTGTAGCACGAATGGGTCGGCTCGACCGGGGAAGGACCACGCTCTCACAGAATACCAGCATAACACTGCTGTGTTTCGTATGGTGGGTGTAGAGAACCGGGGACCCATTTTACTGGAAAATAGGCATTTAATCTTAGTCCTCACGGGTGACAACGATTCTGCATTTTGATTCTTTATTGAGGACATATGTAGATGTCTATGGGTCACAGCAACCACTTACCATCAGGTGGACTGTGTGCTCGTTTGTTACCCTATCCTATAAAAAATTCTTGTATGTTTTACTTTCCAAGCTTATTTAGATACACTTGCGTCATCCCTAAGAAAATTATATTTTTTTCTAAAACCGAGCAAAGCTCAATCGCCCAGATTAATAACAATGCTCCTCATTGGGGAGATATTGGACGCTGCTGTCCATTTTCTGGTTTTTTCCTTCTATCGCCTTTTACCAATGGGTAAAGTTAGTAATAATTTTAAGGCGTACAGTTTTTAAGTTTATTAAAAATCTTTGTTTAGTTTATATTGTGTATTTTTTTTATAAAATATATATTGATATAATAAATAATAACATATTTATCAAAGTTATTCTATATAACACAAGTATTTATACATCTTACCCAACATTTCAGGAACTACCAAATTTGGAAGATTTATTATTTGTTGGTAACCCACTTTATGACGCATGTGAACTTGAAGTTTGGCGCGCGGAAGCAGCTAGAAGATTGCCACAGCTTAAAAAACTAGACGGTGAAACAGTTTTGAGGGAAGATGACCCACCTTTAACCGTAGCTGATATGCAGGTTAAATATCGATCGCCCGACAGCGATACGTTACTATTGAAAATAAATTCCAACGCCATCTAGCTCTCTTGGCGGTGTAAGAATATACAATACCCCATATCGTCCCACGGGTATCGCAAAAGGTGACAAAAGGGAAACAAACCAGGATAAGGGCAGCAGCGTCTTCCTTATCATTATTATCATTACAGCCTTTCACAAGTCCACTGCTGAACATAGACCTCTCCCAAGGAATGCCACAAACAACGATCCAGAGCTACCTGCATCCATTGACTTCCTGCATGGCTTACTAGGTCAGACTTACTGGGTCGCCCTACACTATGCCTACCGGTACGAGGCTGCCATTAGAATGCCCATGATGAATGTCTTCCTTATAACAACTAAAAAATAATAACTGCCGTTAATCAACCACCTGCCTAGCGTGGCAGAATCCCCACTTTGAGGGCAGTCTATGGGCCGTAATGGATTGATAGTAATGGAATAATGAATATATTTCATTTTTTTATAGGATAAGGGTGACAAACGAGCACACATTCCACCTGATGGTAAGTGGTTGCTGAGGCCCATAGACATCCACATCTATTCTCGATTAAAAATCAAAATGCAGGTGCGTTGTCACCCGTGAGGACTAAGATGGAATGCTTCGTTTCCACTAAAAAGGGTCTCCGGTTCTCTGCACTCACCATACGAAACACATCAGCGTTAAGGTGCTATTTTACGCTGGTGTTCTGTGAGAGCGTGGTCCTTCCCCGGTCGAGCTGACCCATTCGTGCTACAACTATACTATTAATATAACTGCAGCATGGCTCTACCACGTGAAAAAAATTATTTCACTCAACGCTGCAGACGTATCTTTTGTCATCTCGTTATTTGTTATTTTTTATCTGTATTATTAGTAGGAGAGCTGGTGATCAATTTTGGGTAGGTTCTTGAGGAACTACGAAACATTTTGTAAATGTCCTTGAAAAAAATTTTAATAAAGAAATTTCCCTTTAAAAAAAATCAAGGACCGCTACGCTTCAGCCAAACCTCGACTGTCTTATTTTGGGGTCCTTCAAGAACAATTAAAAAATTATTCGTAGTGCCTCAAGAACCTACCCAAAATTGCTCAACAGCCCTCGGACTATGTTGTTTATTTGTATTTTGTTAGAAAATACTCTCAACTATAATTGAATAAATTTACGTTATATATAATCATAGATAAATAAATATGTAGCATGCTATATAAAATATTCATGGAACTCGTTAGAATTAAAGACAAAATGTAATTAAGTGCAGTATGCAAACAAAACCTTTTTGCTTGTTCTAAAAGAAACACAACACAGACAGAATAAAGACCACGATTAAGACTCATTGAAATGAGTCAGGCTAGTTATTATGTAGTACTTACTACAGTAAAATACTTTATACTGCTTGAACTAGTGGGTAAGTTTTAACGTTTATTAGTTACTACCAATTTTAATTTCAGCCTGACGGTGGCGATGGTGTCGAGACGATGGTCGGCGCGGAAGCAAACGACTAGATGACATTAAGAAAGAAAATATAAAAATATTAAATATTCTAAAGAATACATTATACACTTAAAATTAATTAAGGTTACTTTTATTTATTTTTTTCTTCTAGGCTAGCGACAACTCCGTCATCGTCTCTGTAGGATCTATTAATGAACCTTTTTTGATCAATTTGTCGATTTTTTTTTATAAACTTCAAGTTCTTCTGATAAAATATATAATAATAAATAAAAGTATAATGTAATACACTTAAAATTAATTAAGGTTACTTTTATTTCTTTTTTTTTTCTTCTAGACTAGCGACAACTCATCGTCTGTGTAGTTTCTATTAATGAACCTTTTCTGATCAATTTGTCGTTTTTTTTTTATAAACTTCAAGTTCTTTTGATAAAATATAGCTTAGAATACTTCTGGTATTGCTCGCTACGTGTTCGTAAAGTTTTATTACAATCGGTTCAGCCATATCGAAGATTAGCCCGTACAGACAGATATTCAAAGCTTTTAGAAATGGTTATACATATTTTTTATTATATAGGAGATGGGGCAAACGTGTATGCGGCTCACCTGATAGTAAGTGACTACCGGCGCCCATGAACAACTGCAACACCACGTGCGTTGCCGGCCTTTTAGAAAGGAGTAAGCTCATTTCTTGAAGGTCCCTAAGAAAAATTACTGGTAAACAATTCCACAGAGAGATTGTACGAGGAAGAAAACTCCTAGTAAAACGCACAGTGGTGGACCGCGAAGCATACATATTGTGTGGATGGTATAGTGAGTTTTGCCGCGATGTGCTTTCGTGAAATTTGGCGGCTGGGATTAATCCGAACAATTTCTCAGAGCACTCCCTGTGGTAATGAAAATGCAGCGCCAGTTAATCGAGCCCATCAGAAAGAACTCGGTAGTCGACGATTCGGGTCGCTCTACGCTGGATGCGGTCAAATGGAAGGAGCTAGCACTGGGAAGCCAATGCCCAGAGATGGGAACAGTATTCCATGTGAGGCCAAACTTGCGCCTTGTAAAGTTGCAAGCGGTGTGCCGGCATGAAGTACTATCAGTACGCCAAGCTTATTATACGCCAATTCGGCATTCACTTCGAAGTGACCACGAAACTGCACATTATTCGATATGTCGACGCCGGAGATTCCGATGCTAGGTGAGGCAGTAAGGGGAGTGCCTTGAAACTGAAGAGATACACAGGGGTTCCTTTTATTGTTTTACCAATTTGGTAGCTGTTCTGTGAACATTTTCCAGTAGTATTGCATCTATAGTAAGAAAGTATAGTAATCGATGTCATTAATTGGACTCCACTTTAGTGAAAATTGACCGGTTTTGATAAGACGATGTTAATATATTGATACGTTATATTTTTTGCGATTAAGGTGTAAGCGGCCAAGGTGGCCCGCAAAATTCAAATTTTCTTACGTTTTTTGGAATTTGCAGGTCAGAGTCAGGTTGTATGTGTCAGTAAAAATCAGGTGAAATATCAATATAACCTCAAACGTAAATGTCAAATCAATCATTAGAAAATTTAGTGAAGATTTTGGTGTTATTAACTTTAATTGTCATTAAGAAACGCTAATGAACCGTAAAATTACTTTGAGAGTGATTTTTTTTAAAAGCTATACTAAGGAGCGCCTTAAGTAACCGTTAAACGTCTCTGAGTGCGACAGTTAGTCACGTGTGACTGTCCCTGCACTTGGTAGTATCTTTGGCGGTTTTTATTAATTTCCAAACCATTTTTTGGTTCTCTTTCCAAAGGTCACTTATTGTTTTTTTTTTATGGCTTTGTCTAAACCCAATGTGAATGACTTTATTGGGCATTTAATCTCTACGATAGTATCGTATCGTATAAGCCGTCCGGAGTGGCTAAAATGGCAATTCTTCGTCTATAAAAAGACCACAAGGTTCTATTTTAATTTTTTCTTTCCTTTCTAATTTCTTGATAGCAATGGTTTCATTATCCTTGCCATGTTTTATTGACTACACATGGTTAACAAAATATGATTCGCGATGGTACCGAGTGTGTGTTTATAGAATTATTATCATTAAAATCACCAATACAACCCCCTAAGTTCGTATAATATCATAGTGAGGCTATTTCTGGGAAAACGCATTCAAAGGTATTACATGTATATGATATTAATTTAAATCCTTTGAATCCTAAAATTGTGAGCATGTACCTACTAATTTAAACTTAATTAGGGATGTTGCGGATGCCGATGCAGATGGCAATACTCAATTTAGGTACATGAACAAATGAAAGATTGACATCTGCATCCCGATTGCAACCGCATCCATAACATCCCTAGAGTAGATTACCACTTAGCTAAATATGTGATCGCTTAATAATTATGTCATTCTTAGTAAATAGTAGATTTTAATGATTGTCTGTGATTTTTTTAAATACTTAATTAAAAAAGAAAAGTTAATAAAAAGCTAAGTTATAAGCTTATAAGTGATTAAATAAGTGTTTATTGTCATTTATTTTCAAATACCTAAAATTCAAACCTTCAAGATCAATCTATACAACATGGGAGTCATTATGATCCAGGCTAATTTAATTATTAGAATGTGGGTGTCATTAGTGTCAATGTGAAATAATTTGAAATTTACAAATACAGTGTAAATTCCATGTAACGTCACTCGATTTAACGACAAACTCCCTAAAGCGTCTAAACTCTAAATCACTCGGCTTTGGTTGGTTTGGCTTGTCTTCCATACAATGATACACTCTATTTAGCATTAAATTCACTTTCAATATACCCTCAAAAAAATTAATTTGTCTTTGTCTAAAAAATACGCCGAAAGTGCTTCCTTCACTTCTTCATCACTTAAAAACTTTTTCCCACGAAATTATTTTTTTAAGTTTGGAAATAGATAATATATATAATAATTTTCTACGTGGTAGAGCCATGCTGCAGCTGTATTAGTAGTATAGTTGTAGTACGAATGGGTCGGCTCGACCGGGGAAGGACCACGCTCTCACAGAATACCAGCGTAAAATAGCGGCTTTACACTGCTGTGTTTCGTGTGGTGAGTGTAGAGAACCGGTGACCCTTTTGACTGGATACACTGAGGCATTCCATCTTAGTCCTCACGGGTGACAACGCATCTGCTTTTTGATTCTTTATTGAGGATAGATGTAGATGTCTATGGGCCACAGCAACCACTTACCATCAGGTGGACTGTGTGCTCGTTTGTCACCCGATCCTATAAAAAAAAAGATAATAATCACTGGGGGCCAGGTCAGCACTATGGGATGGGTGTGGCAAAGTTTCGCAGCCCACCTACTGCAGAGCAGCCATCGCAACATGGCACTTGTGAACAGGCGCGTTGTCGTGCAGAAGAAGGATTCCTTTGGTCAATTTTCGCCTTCTTTTCTCCTTTATGGCTTCCTTCAATTGTTCTAGGATTGAAACGTAGTAATTTCCGGTTATGGATATAATTAATCTAAAACCTTTATCTTTCTAATTAATCTGCACTGCATAGAGTCCTGTTTGGACTCAGGTTCATAATGGTAAACCCAAGTTTCGTCACCAGTAACAATTCGAGCCAACACTCCATCTTTGTCTTCCATCCAAATCCATTTGGTCCAAAAATGCACGAGAACACTCCACGCGCTGTTGCTTTTGAGGCGGCGTGAGCATTCTAGGCGCTGCGCTGACTTTAGTCATGCCAAGATGGTCATGAAGAATTTTGAAAATGGTTGTATCTGATACTCCAACCATTTCTGAGAGCTGTTTTTTCTTTAGGCGGGCATCTTCTAATATTAATTTTTCGACTTTTGAATAATTTCCGAAGTGGTCACCTCGATCGGCCTTCCTGGCCGTGGGTCGTCTTCAAGTGACTCTCTGCCTAGTTTAAAAAGGGTGTGCCACTTGTAAACCATAGTTTTACTTGGACAAGAATCTCCGTAAATGGATGACATCTCTTTAAGTACAATCTGAACTGATTTTAATACATGTCGTTGTACTTCACGTCTGTCCTCTATTTTAATATGATGCAATAATGTGTAATTGTGATTCATCCACAACAGAACAGCACAACCACACCATACAACCCAATTGGTGGCGAAGAGATTCCACGGCACAGAGGGTATATAAAGCGTGAAATCGTAGAGCGGAGCTCATTAATGTCGCAGCCGCCGCCGGATCAACAAGCTCCGAGTGGGAGTGGAATAATATTTCCCGGATACAAGTGTTTGGGACCTGGCAACACGTTGGATCAAGGAGTGCCCATCAATGCATTGGACGCGGCCGCAAATAAATACGACGAAAAATACCACAAGATCACGGAATACTACAAGAAGACTAAAAATAGAAAACAATTTGAACACGACATACATTGAAGCGGCAGACATTGAATTTGTAGAAGAGGTAGCAACATTTGCACCAGAGACGACATTAGACAAGGTAGAGCACATATTGGAAAAGTACACAGGAATAATATATCCAAGATTAAAAGTGGGAGCATCACAAGCGGACTGCAGATACATGGAACAATTCAAAAAAAATTCACGTTCGCCATACCGTCGACAAAAGCGACATACACCAAGTCAGCAACGGATATGGTGTACAACACGTACATACACAGTCTACCGTGGCGAAAAGATTCTTTTACATAACAGAAAAAGAGTACGACGACTTGACAACAATATTTCACACGTCAAAGGTGACTCAAGTGGGAATAAAAATGACAAACCTGGGCAACAGAACTCCGTTCCTGACATCGACGTCGTCGGTAAACTATGCAAACGCAAACTCACAGACCACCATGGGAATATGGGAAAACATGGAGTGTCTAGCGCCAGTTGAAATGGGCACAAACATTACGGCGGACACACTGTACGGAAAAACTTTGGAGAGTTATGCGGCGGGCACGGATCCCCGATCACAGCACGGCTCAAGCTAAATTGGTGGACATAAAATAACGTACAAATTCACTCTGAATCCGGTGTACATACACTTTTTCCCGCCACCGTTAATCATGGAATCTACGATACTATTCAACGCCACCAACTCTATAGGACCCATTTTCGAGATGACATACACGCCTAAAGACGGAACATTCCACACGGACAACGACGGATTCGAAAACGCCTCAGACTATATAATCAGAAACGAGCCAATGTCGATAATCGTAAACACAGGAAACACGGCCGTACGAAGTGTAACCTGTGTAAAATCAAACACAAAGATATACAACGAAGCGACCGTTGACAATATTACAATCCGAAGACTGTATACGAACGCACAACAATATTTCATGGGAAGCATAGGCGTCGGAATAATACAGCTATTGAACAAGGACGGCAGTCTGGAGGACGTAATACTAAACATAATTGTGGAAACCACAATAGACATTGAGTGTATATCGCACGGAACTAACCTGTTGATGGGCAAATACAGCAGAGTTCAACCAAATACATTATTCACGGGATTGGCCATAGACAAGTACAATTGGAACAATAGATATACTGTGGCCGGAGCACCAGTAGTAGAGTGGGTATGGCATTATAGTTAATTACTTACAAAATGTACACTAATAAATGTGCAAAATTAATTCTATTGTTATTCCAGTGCAGGTGACGTAGTACACGTGGCAATAGAAGAGCGACCACCGACTCCTCTAGAGCCTCAGCAACCTCAACCACCACCGCCTGATCGAGAACAACAACCGCAACCTCAACCTCAACCTGGACCATCAAGAGCAGGAAAACGAAAAAAAGAAGAACACCCCGAAGCCAAAGCGTCATCGTCAAAACAACAAAAACAAGCATGGTACAGTGACGGAGAACATGTAGTAATAAACAAAGAGAGAGTAATATATGTAAAAGCGGAAAAAATACCAGGTAAAAAAATAATAACTTCAAACATGTCAGACGAAGAGAAATTAGCAATAGCTGAAGAAAATGAACGTATAAGACAAGCAGGCACTACAATTGGCAGAAACAGAAACATTAAAAAAGATATATTTAACGGGGAAATTTTTAAACTTGGGTATACCGGAACAAGGATACTACGATAAAAACAATCCAAAACACAGAGAGGCAATAATAAATACAGCAACAAAAAAAGAACGAGAAACAGAAACACAATTACAGAGACCAAAACAAGTGACTACACCACGCCCAACAGAAATGCAATTACCAAAACCAAAACAAGTGACTACATCACGCCCGGTAGAAACACAAATACGACCACCCCCAGTAGAAACACCAATACAATTACCAAAACCAATAGCGCCAAAACACTTGACAAAACTCGTGATAAGATGTGAAAATGTCGATAACATAATGTACCTATACGAAACGGACCAACAGCTAAGGGGCAACTTAAACATAAAAACACGCGAATACATAAAAGTGGATAAACAGCCCAAAGAGAACGAAATAAGCTTACAAACAACATTTAATGACGCATGGCCCACAATAAACCTTAGATTAAGAGGATTATCGCAAAATGACAGGACACAAGTGTACAGATATGTAAAAGAAAACATGGAGAGACACGGTTGGATTGCAACTAATGGTTAAACATGAATAAAAAATTTAAAATTCGCAATGCATTTTATAATTTAAACATCATATTACACACACAACACAATTTAATATAAATCACAAAATTCAGATAGAGTAAACAAACGGGTGTAACAAATGTGACAGTAAAAATTCTGTTTTAAACTGTCCCCAAAGTCATCGGGGAACCAATAATCTATAACTTCTATGGAGCAGTTTGGATTCCCAGATATAAAATAATTCTCAATTTTAAATGCCCTTCTATTTCTTCCACTTTTACTGGCGAGGCCACGACAATTCATGAAGCTTTAATATATATAGAAGCACACAACTTAAATAAGTCAGTTATTCTTACAGACTTCCAAAAGTTTTTTGTTAGCAATTTTGTCAAACCAGTTCCAAAGTAAATATAAGATACCCTTGATCCTCAAAATTAAACACACATTGTATAGATGTCATCTCAAGGGCATTCAGGTTTCCTTAGCTTGGATTCCAGGTCATAGTGGCATCAAGGGCAATGAAACGGCCGATCAGATGGCTAAAATGCAAGTCGAAATGGTTTGCCATGTAATTTAACTTACCCTTCAGACATAGTGTTAATTGCAAAGAAGAAGTTAAATAATAGTTGGAATACATTATGGAAAGCCACTCAAAATATAAAAGGTAAACACTATGCTGTTATAAGCACACAAGCGAATGATGAAACATAATTAAAATGATCCCGTATATATATATAAGAAAAAATAAGAAGACTCTTAATCCGTCAATAAACTAGGGTTCGTTATAGTCACTGTACAATTGTTTATTTGCATTGGAGATAGACTGACTCTCCTCCTCCTGTTGTTGCCGCCGCCGTTGATGTTGTTGATGGCACCGGAGGCCCTGCCTGAAATAAACAGTCGCTTAACCAAAGTTCTAATGAGACTGAACAAGCCGCAGATCAGGATAGTAACAAGTGCTATCACAGGACACGGCACCTTTAACAAATATTTATTTACTATAGGTGTTACAGATAGTCCTCTGTATATGGCATGTATTGGGGAGGGAGAAACGGCGGCCCACGTGCTACTGAAATGTCCGGAGGTCGCTACGTACAGGGTTAAACATCTCGGCACGCCGAGATCACTCCCCGAAGTTGCATGCAACATCAAAAGACTGTTGAGCTTCTTCGGAGAGATCTCATGGCTCGAATAATCACATTATTCCTGCCCACACGCAAAATACGCGCATAGACGTGGAGTTGCGGAAAACAGCCCGCCGTAAACTAAACTAAACGGCACGGAACTCGATTTTCTCTACATTTCACAATTTCTTCCCGATTGACTTGTTTGGTTGACGATAACTCAAAGACTAATGATCTAATTACAATGAAACCTGGTATTTATACTAACAAGAGTTGCTCAATTAGCATGTAATTCAGCGACGTCCCCACTTATTACCTACCTGCCCATTCCGCGAACTTAAAAACGCACCCTCGTACATACCAAACTCGCTAAGAAATCCGTTGTTTTGTTTACAAATTAAGATTGCTTGCACGTGTAGACTGTTGTTAGTAGGAGTCATGGATGATCTATATTTACTTAGTTGCTCACAGACTTTTAAACTGTCAACACGGCAAGTAAGAGAAAATCACTGTATTGACGGAAAAAGTGTCTAAAATGAACTTTTTCTTTTTCTAATACAGATTTTTCTTCGTTCCATTTTTTTTATAGGATCGAGTGACAAACGAGCACACAGTCCAACTGATGGTAAGTGGTTACTGTGACCCATAGACATCTACATCTATCCTCAATAAAGACTCAAGATGCAGATGCGTTGTCACCCTTGAGGACTAAGATGGAATGCCTCTTTGCCAGTAAAAAGGGTCTCCGGTTCTCTACACTCACCATACGAAACACACCCTCTATTTTACGCTGGTTTTCTGTGAGAGCGTGGTCCTTCCCCGGTCGAGCCGACCCATTCGTGCTACAACCATAATATAGCTGCAGCATGGCTCTACCACGTAGAGTTTTAGATTTAACGACAACTCTCTATAACGTCAAAATATGCAGTCCCCTGAGTGTCGTTATATAGAGTCTACACTGTATTGCGTAAAAGAATGAAAATAGACACATGCCTGCCTTATCATTATCTTCTTTAGTACATAGATTTCATTTAGCTTATTAAAAATAGCTTACATGAAGGTTCTCATAAAAACTGAAATCTGGATAAAAATAAATAATTTTGAAGAACCACCCACCTAATCGTCATAATACAATTTCCTTTTATATTCGGTTGTCTGATAGAAATTTTTGACTACCATCTATAGTTCTTAATATTTCCATTATTGTAACTATTTTTGGTTTAAATGCAATAAAAGAGTTATCTATCTACATATACGGACTTTACTCAAAAAAGTCAGGAAAACCTATATTTACTAGTTCTTCAGGCATTAAACAAATGTTTAAGTAAGCCTAGGAAACATAGGCTAAATATTTCTCCAGGCCATTACCAAACATACCATGAATAAATAGAATACACATAAAGTTTCACCAACCAAAATAGGCTGTGTTTAGTATGCTTAACCTAGGTATGTCCGCACTCCAGCTTTTAGCCGTGTCAAATACACTTTTCCTAATAATTGCACTGTGTCAATACACAAGAGGTCACTTTTGTTTATACACTTTTATCCCAGAGTAACGCACCACGTCTCACTGTCTTCAGTTTCACATTCGTTCAAAACATATTCAGTTTCCACTTCACATTCAATTTGCGAGGATTGTTCTAAGTCTGGTTGACATTCCACTATCTCTTCAACGGTTTCGGATTCATTCTGTTCAGAGTAATTCTGCTCGGATTCATTTTGTCCAATTACACATATTGATTCAACATATTTCTTCTTCTGTTCTTCTATCATTGTTGGCGGGCTGTGGCATTTCAGATGGTAGTTGAGATGACTGCTTTGTTTGAAACGCTTTTCACATATCCCGCACTGGAAGGGGGACACGTTGGTGTGAGTCCGCATGTGTTGCTTTAGGGTGACCGATTGGCAAAAAGTCTTGCTGCATATAATACAGCGGTACGGTCTCTCTTTGGTGTGAGTCCTGGTGTGCTGGTCCAGTCCCGACTTCTGGGTGAAAGTTTTGGGACAGACCGTGCAGGAGTAGGGACGGTAGCCCGTGTGCATACGAGTGTGCTGCTGCAGGCCGCCTTGCTGTGTGAATCGCTTGTTGCATATCTTGCACTCGAATGGTTTCAGTTTTACATGAGCAACTGTTCTATGATCCGATAGCTCATTGCTAGTTTGAAAGCTAGCTCCACAAATCTGTAACCACAAGTAATAAATTGGTATATTTATTTAAATACTACACATTTGGAACCGCTCAGCTTAGCGGCTGTGTTCAATGAAAATTCCACAGTATGCAAACAACCAGGGATCATAAGTCCAGTACTGAACAGTTATCAGTTGACTGGTCTCCCCCCCAAATTACTGTTACAGCCTATTAAAGTCCACTGCTGAACATAGGCCTCCCCCTTATAGGGGGATATTTGCTATAGTTACCACACTTGGCAATCGTGTAGACAACTGCAGTTATTGGAGTATCGCCCCATATGTCATAGTTAACAGGTTAGGCAAGTAGGTTGACAACTGTAGTTACTTTTATTATTATTTCTTTGCTTTGCTCCTGTTTTTAACCAACTTCAAAACGGAGGTGGTTCTCTTTGCACATTGTGAACCGATTTTGAAGATTCTTTTTTTTATTAATTAGGTTATACTTCAAGTGATATAAATTTAGACATTATACCCATATAAATTTGGAGAATAAAATTCACTCCTAAGGGTAATGTTCGCGCCAAACGCTAATTTCAAGAATTGACGACAGAGGGCGCTCGGCGCGGTGCATTCGTACCGGTTTGACGTTCGCGCGAGCGGAGTTGGTTGCGAGCGAGGCGCGTCGGAAGTAATTACCAGTAGCTTGACAGCAGCGGCTCTGGCGACTAGCGTATTTATTTGTGACCGCTGCATCGGTTTCGCGCGGCCAATTTTTGGTTTTGGTGGTCTAGAATTTGAGTATTTGTGCGCGTTTAATTTGCTATTGAATATTTGGGTTTCGAGTAGACAGCCTCGAATTAGTTTGTCTAAGTTGTACGTTTCGTGACAAGAGGCTTGTATTGAATTTGAGTGATTAAAGTAATTTCGTTGCAAGTAATTACGTCAATTTGTATAGTGATTGCATGTTGAAGTGCATTTTGCAATATTTAACTTGCTTGTGTGACGTGGAACCTTGCCCGCATTCCATTTCGAGGGCGTGGCCCGGTTAATTGTTTTTGAAAGTTAATGTTGAACTGTAACGTCGCGTTAAGTGCCTTTTTGTGTGTTGACTAATTAGTTAGTTTTGCGTGTCAGTCAGGCTGATTTTGAGTTCTTATTGCGGGCGTAGTATTTTAATATCGTACGAAAAAATTTAGTTTGTTGTTTGGAATGCTGAACCTTGTGACTCGAGAAGAAATCGTGTTCGTACGGGTGGTTATAATTTTGTTGCTAAGTGAAAATGGAAGTTGAACTTTGTACGACCGTTCATTAGTTGTGCCGTGTGTCACAACAATCAAACATGATTTCGATGAACGTTGAATTGGTTGCCTTTGAAGTTAATTAAATGTACAATAAAGTTGATAGATTGAAATAGTGTACAATAAAGTGGATAAACTGAAATAGTGAAATGGTCAATTGGTGACGTTAGTGAAAGTTGTCAATTGGTGACGTCAGCTGCAGTGATACCACATCGTGGGGCAGCATCGGACCAGGTCACCTCAGTTAGGTCAGGTCACACATACACACCTTCTAACACACTACTTACATGCACCTATCTACCGCCTGACCGAGCCTTGGGGTCAGTCTTAGCTGCGGAACTAGGTACGTTCTTATTAATTACCTAGCCTTATATCTATTGTGTAGAATAATAATTGTCCATCAGGCATTTTGAGCCCCACCCTTAGTTGTCCCTCGAATCTACAGCTGTACGTGCCCCTGTATGGTCGACCTTTGTCGGGGCAGCTAGGGGCGTGTACAGGTAAGGCGAAGAAAGCAAATAAATAATTTCTTATTTAGCAATTTGAAGTCGATTTTTACTTTTGGTTAAAAGTTATAATTATTCAATTCTTTTTTTTTACTAAACCGTAGTGACAAAAGAACTTGCAGACCATCTGATGGTAAGTAGCTACTGTAGCCAATGGACATCTGCAGCTTCTTCTTCTAACTTCAAACAAAGAAGACTACAGTTGCGTTGTGACCCATGAGGACTAAGATGGAAAGTCTCACAGCCTGTAATTAAACTGGTTCTCTAAACGATTCCAAACAGAACACAGCAGTTCAAGCACTGCTATTTGGCATCAGTAACTAGTAAGTAAAAAAACAGTGGTTTTTTTTTTATATAGTAAAGGGCAAACGAGCATGCAGCTCATCTGATGGTAAGTGACTACCTCCGCCCATAAACAACTGCAACACCAGGGTAATTGGAGAGCCGGTCTTTTAGTAAGGAGTAGGTTCTTTTTTTGAAGGTCCCTAAGCCCTCGCCCACAGTGCGAGCCTAGCGCGGTTGAGACGACGGGCGTGAATTATCAAACATATGAAACCGCCGTTTGCATCCATAGTGTAGTGACTAAGGCGGACGCCTAGCGCGACGGGCATGAGCGAGATAGCGCGCGTAGTTTTCAAACGTACATATCCGCGCGTTTTGGCCACACTACAGGCCTAGTAAGCAAGGGTTCCAATGCACGGGTGCGGGGGTATCAAACCAGTTCGGTCTTATCGCTCGGCGTAAGCGCGTCTTCATTTTTTTTTGTTAAAAAAATTTGTATCTTCTCTAGTGATTTTAGGTGATATTTTAGTCAGAACGTAAACAAATGTTGACACGAACATTCGAGTATACTCAAAGAATTTTCTAGGGTACTATCACAATTCTTCATACAAATTTAAAAAATCACCATTTATTTGTCGGATTTTATTTATTTCGTGTCGTTCGTTCTCAAATGTTCAAAATTTCCCATCTCAGGATCGGACTGTCTAGTAGAAATACTAAATCCTCGTCTATGGTTTACAACACCTGTAATACATCTAAACACACCAACAGCACACTCGTCACTGTGGGCACGGCACGCGCCCGCAACAGGCTCAAGTCGGCGCGCATTCACTGTGGACGCACACTAAGCCGTATCGGTCTGAAATCACTGGTGGTAGTCAATTCCACAAGGACAATCGCACAGTGGTGGAGCGCCAATCATGCTGATGGTAATTATGGTATCGCGAGTTTTTTTGCGATGTGCGATGGTGAAATTGAGGTACCAACTACCAACCCAGACTGAGTCCTAACCACCTTTACTGTATGGTAAGCCACAACACCTGTATATTTATTTTTCACTCACCTCACAATTGTATAATGACTGGTTCTCATCTACTGCATTAAGTGGTTTCTCACAAACTTGACACCTTAATCCTTTCCGTCTCCTTGTGTGCTCGTCCCGGTAGTGTATGGAATACTCGCAACACGAGAAGAATATTTGGTGACAGGTTCCATCCGCTATCAGGTTAGATGGCTGGAGGCATTCAAACGGACCCCTGTAAAGATAAGTCATTTATGCTTAGTTCTTTATTAGTCCCTAAAAGCCCATTACTGGAAATGGGTCTCTTCCGATGTACGGTGGATTTACATTCATCATCACGCTCGGAGGCAAACTAACAATTTTTTTTTATAGAATTAGGGTGATAAACCGGCACACAGTCCACCTGATGGAAAGTGGATCGATGGCCTATAGACATCTACATTTATCCTCCATTAAGAATCAAAATACAGATGCGTTGTTACCCCTGAGGATTGAGATAGAATGCCTTGCTTCCAGTATAAAGGGATCTCCGATTATCTACATCCAGCATACGAAACATGTTGATGTTTCGTATGCTAATACCAGTGTAAAATAGTAGTTTAATGTTTATTAAACTACTATTTTACACTGGTATTCTGTGAGAGCGTAGTCTTTCCCCGGTCGAGCCAAACCATTCGTGCTACAACCATAATATATCTGCAGCGTGGTTCTATCACGTAAAATGTGATATATTTATCGTCTCCGTTAAGACTGTCCACCGTGACATTATTATAAACTGAAATGTGAATTGGGCACCAAGGTGATATATACTTACGTTATGGGCGGAGGTTCTTTATCGGCCTTTGGTGTAACAACTTTAATCTGTTTCTTTTCCTTTCCCATCTTATCCAACATTCTCCTCTTAATTGGCTCGGGGCAGTCTTCCGACCTCACTATAATATAACTGACGTCTTCTGATGTTAGAGACCTTAAGTCGGTGGAGCCCATGGAGGTGATAAGTTCCATCTCTTTCTGATCAACTTCATCTGTTGATGATCTTTTGGGCTATTGAGAAATTTGAGAAAATTAAAAAACTGTTGATGGTCTTTTAAAGGTATTCTACACAACAGTGTGTATGTACATCTGTTACAGTTTTGCTTTTGTAAATATTGTGGTTAGTTGTGTGTGTTTTGGTACGTTGCAAAGAAATTTGCTTAAATAAATTTTTTAATTAATTTTTAAAATTTTTGTGTGTTTGTTTGTTCCAGCTAATCTCTGAAACGATTGGACCGATTTTGACGGGATTTCCACTGGCAGATGGCAGATGTTATAAAGAGTAACAAAGGCTAATTTTGAAAATAAAATAAAATCAAATCATAATAAATAACACTGGTATTTTGAGAGAGTGTGGTCTTTCTCTGGTCGCGCCAACCCATTCGCGTTACAACCATAATATAGCTGCAGCGTGGTTCTACCACGTAAAATGTGATATATTTATCAACTTCACAATGGTGGTAGCGGATTTAAGGGGCAGTTCTTATCAACTCGGCTTTCGCAGCACCAACATCCAACATTCAATCATTATTATTATTAATACAAAGCAATAGTACAAACAGATTTAAGGTATCAAGTCTCCAACTCACCGAAAGTACGTTTGTCCAAATGGATGGGTCTCCCGTCGCAAACTCATCTATGTGCTTCATCCGCGCATGGTTCCTCAGGGCTACGTCATTTGCGAAATTCTTGAAGCATAACTTGCAGGAAACTGTATCTTCATCCTCATCATTTGAAAGTATTTTTTTCTGTAAGAGAAGTTTCACTGATTTGTTTATTTACTGTTCATCGTTTTTACAGTACAGGCAGTCACGTCAAAGATGGATCATATCAAACGATTCAATTAATTCTTTAAGTCATATTTAACAATTTTAATTATCTACTTACACAAAATTGATTTGTTCATTCATAACAACTGAGCATAGGCCTCCCCACATAGATTGCCAAAGTTGCCACGCTTGCAGTTTTTGTGAGTTGTAATCAGGATGTTGTTGCAGTCTATCTCTTGTTTCAGATTCCCTCTACCCTCTCTTACAATAACCACGGGATGTTATAAGGTAGTGAATTCTCCTACCCTGCCACTAAAAGCTTACAAAGTTTAATAAAAAAAAATCTCAGTTCCTTAAAAAACATTATTTTTCCATTTTGTTTTGCATCAATCTGTTTTTAATTTTACCTTACTAGCATATCCTTAATGACCCTATAGAAAATTGATTTTGACACCCCTGCCCTTTTTTTATAGGATATGGTGACAAACGAGCACACAGTCCACCTGATAGTAAGTGAATGGCTGAGGCACATAGACAACTACATTTATCCTTGGTTAAGATTCAAAATGTAGATAGGTTGTATCTCTTGACAATTAAAATACAATGCCTCGTTACCAGTAAAAAGGGTCAGTCACACACAATTCTCTACACTCGCCATACGAAACACAGCATCATTGAGCTGCTATTTTACGTGATTATTCTGCTAGGGCAAGGTTCTTTTCCAGTCCAGCTGACACATTCATGCTGCAATCATTATAATGCTGCAGTGTGACTTCACCACATTCCAAAAGATTACTTTGTAAGGCTATAAAGTCATCATCAGCCCGTAAAAGTGCACAGCTGGTCACATGCTTCTCCCGTAGTAGGGATAATTAATTAACAGCTAATGTCTCGCACCGTTGACATTTCTACCCGTAGCCAGTCTGGCGGTATGTTATGCCTGGCATTGACAAGGTAATTGTACCGCCAGCTATCGGAAACCATAAGATTTTTTGAGAATAACCCATAATTTTCTCTTACAGCACCCACCAGAAGATATCGAACGTCATCACACGGCACTTACTAAACACTAGATTTAAATTAGAATACAAAAAATACCTTCGCTTTAACCAAAGGCACCACATTCACAGACCTCACCATTTTGCCTGACATTTTATCTGCAATAATAAAAAAAAATTACTAATACCCTAAATAATGATTTCTTATATTTACGCAATCACTACACATTTAATGGTCATGGGAGGGACTGAGGTGTATGATGTCCCAATGTCATAGTCAACCACGACTACCTCCAGATTAAAAATTGGTTGACCATGGGTGCTGTAAAGTGCTCCAAACGTCGGGAATATAAAATAAGTTAATACATGCGACAAAAACCACAAAATTGGTTTTATTTAAATGGTCAGCCTAAAACTAAAAAAGAATGAATAGGATTTCGTTACGTCTAACTTGGAGCACTTTACATAAACAGAAACTTTTTTATTCAAGATAGATAATACTTATTAAAAGTCACTCTTTTGTTTAATTTATCAGTGGGATAAATTAAACAAAAAAGCGAAGGTTGTCCAAAGAGTTACATAAATAAATTCATCTCACTGTTAACAGAGTACTACAACTCAAAATAACCCATTTGAATGATCTACCCAAATGACTTGGATCATACGATGAATCATTACTGGAATAATTAGGCCACTAAAAATTAGTGATCTACACATATCTTTCATATTTTAAGAATTAGATATGTTAAGATTGTGTTTAACACAGCATTTAATTTTTCATATGAATAATAAAATAAAGAGAAGTGAGTGGTTTTCTAAGATAGACTTAGGTGTATTCCTATTTTATATGGACTACATTAAAACTGTAGCAAAATTTAGATAAATAAAGACTACTATGATAACAGCAGTGATTTAAATTTTAGTAAAAATAAAGGTACGAAAAAATTTCTCGTTAAGTAAATGGTGATTACCTTAAACTTGTCATTAATTTTATAGTAAAAGTAGTGATTTAAATACACTCTTTGTTTTAAAAGCTATATAAAACACACTTAAATAAATATTAAATTTTTCAAAATCCCACCAAAACAGCGGGAACATAAAATGACAAATTAACTTTTTAAATCCTAGAATGAAATGAATACGAGGTCTAGTGGTCTGGGTAAATTAAAAAAAAATTACATTCAAGAGAATAATGAATTGAAACCTTTATAACCACAAACTAACTAGAAATACACATTTATAACCAAATAGAGAAAGAACACTTATTACGACAATCGAGTGCTGTGAAATTATTTAATTTAAATCATATTTTAGGCCTTTCAACACAAAATTTTGTAATTTTGTATGTCAGTGTCAGATATCAGAGACTATTCTCTTTGAAGAAGAAGTTGCATTTGTATTTTTAATAAAAAAAAGAATCAGTATTAGAGATGAGTCGTACTAGGTAAATTTTGTACTAGGTGCACCTAGCCCAATTCCGTACAAATACTTGATCCAAATACCTGTTCCTCCTATTCCATGAAGTACGCATAAAGATTGGTATTGTTGGAATAAAGTACACTTTAAAGTATGCTTAGTCTTTGCGTACCACCGATACGTGTACGTATAGGGTATTAGTGTTCTGTGGTACGTATGCAGTAATGAATTGTAATCTTCCCTTCATACTTTACACAGGCTTAGGACTGTCAACGTAAAGATTTATCTACATTATAGATTGTTGGCGTATTTAAAAGATTTCAATTCATTTTTTTCAAAGTAATCAGTTATTGTCTGTTTTAAGTTTTTTTTTAATTCTTTTTAATTTTTTTAATTTTTTTTTAATTTTTTTTAAATCACCTACCAACAATAATTATTTTTTATATATACGGAGAAAATCAACCTCATGAATTTTGATTTAAAAACATTAATTGTTGAACTTTTCGAGTCCCTAGCCTCGTTCTCCTGTCATTAAGTAACAATCCACAGGAGGAAAATAATCTTTCACAGGGGACACTCGTGGCCATTGCATTTAACTTTTTGAGTGCTAGGGCATACAAATGCGGGTATACATCCTTTCGCTTTTTCCACCACTCTAGTGATGATATATTGTCACACGGCAACACAACTTTATCGTCCAAATATCTTTGCCCTTCCAAAATCGCTCGACAAGTTGCCGTGCCCTTGGGTTGTATATTTTTCATTTTTTCGGCATAATGCTGCCATACTAAATTAATTTGAAGCTGAGGTGGAGGATTTTCTGCTTGATCTGATAGCTGCTGCTCTTCGTGTTGAATTTGGGGATTATTGCGATCCTCTTTATTTATAATTGTTGTAATAATTTCTATGATTCTTTGTTTTGTAGTGTCAGCTACATACTGATCTTCAAAATACAATTTGAATCTGGGATCCAGGAACATACACGTAGTAAATGTGCCGCTTTTGTCTAAATGTATAAATCTATTTTTTATAGCGGCCAGCAAGTCTTGTTGTAATTTTTGGGCGGTGTCGAGGTATGTATTACTATTAATATTTTCTAAAGATTTAATTAACCCTGTCGTTATAGGTATCACTAAACTTCCTGTTACATATTTTTGAGCACTTACTTCCTTTGTAACTTCTTCACATGGTTTTAAAATGTTGCAAATGTGTTCACAAAGTTTCCATTCAACTGCAGTTAAGGACATGCTAATGGCGTTTAAGTTAGAGAGCGCACTATTAACCTCTTCTTTTAATTCTACAAATCTCTGCAACATGTAGAATGTAGAATTCCACCGCGTGCTTACACATTGTAGAGGTCTTTTAGGAGATTTTCCAGCCTGTTCCTGGTATTTTTTTAATTTTTCCCAGGCTTCAGCGGATCTTTTAAAGTAAGCAACAGTAGTTTTCACCTTATTAATTAAATCAACTAATTCTTGTGTCGCACATAATGCTTCTTGGACAGCTAAATTTAGCGTGTGTGCATAGCAACCAAAATGCTTCCAGCCTAAATCTATGATGGCTTTTTTAATATTGGCGCCGTTATCTGACACTGCTAACAAAATTTTTCCTGACACTTTCCATTCCTCTGTTATTCGTGACAGTTCCATAGCTAAATTGGCACTGGTATGTGATCCCTCTAAAAGTACACAATCTAACAAGATAGATTTTAAAGTGCAGTCATTTTTATTGATATAATGACCAGTAATACCCATGTACGAGTCGTTAGTACTTGATGTCCATATATCCGCTGTGATGGAAATCGATTCAACATCATTTGCGACTTCCGTCATTTTTGAAGTTCGCAAACTTTCGTAGCGACTTGGTAATAAATTGTTTGCAAAGTACTTACGATTCGGAATAACATAAAAAGGAAAAGCAGACTGAATTAATTGTCTAAAACCTCTATCTTCTACAATACGGAATGGTTGAAAGTCCATAATAAATAAATCCATTAATAACTTATCTATATCAGATTTACATTTATCAGCATTTTTTTTATATATGTATGAAGCTATAGTTCTCGAACCTGGTTGTACTAATCGTACCAAGTTAGTGGATGGACGTTGTTCACCTTCAGGTTGTTGAACTATTCCAGCAGGTTGGTTTGAGGTTGACGATTGCTGGTTGGTCTGAGCTGCTATCACTGGAGCTGGAACATCGTTCCTTCTAACTAAACTTACTAATGGATGTTTACGTTTAAGGTGCTTTGTAAGGTTTGATACAGAACTTTTAAAACTCAACTGTATTTTACATATATTACACTCGGCCATTTGTTGGCCTTTGTCCGTAAAGTGATCCCAAGCAACACTAATTACTTTGGGAGCCATTTTTATAAACAATTAACACTTTAATGTCTTAATAAAAAATAAAATAAAAAGTTATTTAACTACTTAATAACACTTAACTTAACTATATAATATATCTTAAATTTATAATATAACTTTAATTTATTACCTAACTTAACTTTATACTTATTATCTCTTAACTTTGTTATGAAAACCAATTCTTATAAATAAGTCCAATACGCGTATACGATTGCAACGTCGAGTACCTAGTTACTGAGCCGGCGTCCACTGAGATCACATTCGCATGAGTCCGTACATGTCCGTACTAGGGACTCGACTGCCTACGCCTAGTATTTGGTTGAAGTCCCGAGTAGACTAGTCTCAAACTCTCAAATAATAAAAGACAAAGATAGAAAGACTGCGGAATAGTGCAGTTAAAAAAGGACAGAATATTATATTTTTGTACAACACGAGTGCGCGTCGTGTGACTTTTTTGCACATTGAAATATGGTTCAAATTCAAATGACTGATACACGAATGATTTAAAGTGAGCGGCAAAGCATACTAGTAACTATGGCAACCAATTGCGATCTCGGTTCGCCACGCCGGTTCTTCATACTTCAGTACCGTGAGACGCGTAGGCACAGTGAGACTAGGTGGATTAGGTCTTTTAAAAATTGGAACAGGTGCAAGCTAGTCTCGTTTAATACCTAGTGCCTGGACCTGTTCTAGTATATACGCTTCATCTCTAATCAGTATAAAGCAAAAAGTAAAAACTATGGTAAATCGAAATGTCAAGATTGCGCTAGCACTTCTTATTAGTTTGTGATCAAGATGTTACAACATACTTTGACTTCAGTACGAAAGTTAAGATGTTGAACGAAAATTATACAAATTCACTAATTTTAAAACAAACATTATGTCTGAAATACACTACATAGCCGCCATTTCGTGATTCATGTATGTAATATGTATTTCATTTTCATGCATATTTACTCGTAGGCTTGTAGAAAAAATATCGATGTGTCGATAAATCGATATTCTTTGTTTAATATCAATTTTTTTCGATATATCGATATAAAATATAAAGTATAGAAATACGATATGTTTTCAATAGCCGTTGTCAACACTGACTAAAAACGCTGGAATTCAGATAATCCTTCCTTCCTTCCTTGTCCTTTCAGAAATAGCGCTGTTTTATTAGAAGGAGTATTAGTTGTTAATCTTAAGGTACCTTATAACAGCAGCCGAGTTTCAGCATAGCACATCACACTTAAGAGTATTTAATTGAACTTCTTTTGGGGCGTTTGAGAATAATGATGAGAGTGAATTTTTACGACGCGCGCGCACACCGACACCTAAAAACGACACCGTGAAGTTGTTACGATGCGCGCGCACACTGACATCTCAAAGTGACAACTTCAGTGGGTAACTGTCTCTCAAGTTTTCGTAGGAACGGATAACTATATTTAAGGTAGTTGTTTTTATTTTGTTACACACGTTTTTGTATATTCTATTTTATTCAATTAAAAACGACTACATTGTTATCAATTTTTTATTAATTTATATAATATAGAATAGTAATGACGACAGATTTTTTTGAGCAATAAACTAATAAAAACAAATACAGTAGAAATTCATGAAGTACAAATATTTCTTAGGAAATTTCACCGATAAATCGATTTTTTTTTTCAATATATCAACATCAATAATAATATATTCTTAAAATATTGATACGATACATATCGATATTTTTTGGCACTTCTTGCATCCCTATGCATAGACATTTTTAGAGCTTAGAACACAGAATTAGGCGTAGAATATTCTCTATGGTCTTTGATAACTATCATACAATATGAGTGGAGTAGATGTTAGGATATGTTAAAAAGATCAATAAATAATATAATGATAGAATATCTTAATACAGATATTGGTCAGGACTGAAATTATAAATTGGACTCATTGTTTCACTGTTTCCACTAATAGTTCACAAGCGTAGACACTTAATACACAAAATCGCGACACTTTTACATATCAAAGTCCACTTCAAACCATTATTTAAACAATAATACAGGAGCAGCAAACCGCCGCCGGTCAATTTCCCGCCAAAACCCTTACACCAGTGTCGTTTGTATCTAGGAGTTACCAGTTAATGAATCTATCCCGATATAATTTGTAATCTATATTTATAATTATAATATATAATTTAAAATTAAAAATTAAAAATGTTGTATAGCCGACTTCAATATAAGTTATTAAGAATAACTCAAAAACTATTGGTCTGACCTTGATCACATTCATATGGGACCACACGAGAAGTACCAGCTTTCAAATAAAAAAAGAATCATCGAAATCAGTTATCCCAGTAAAAAGTTATGAGGTAACACACATATAAAAATATACAGTTGAATTGAGTACCGTCTCCTTTTTGGAAGTCGGTAGAAAATGGAGAAAAACTATAAAATTATGTCATGTTAATAAAATCAGCTTTCAATAGTGTGTTTAGTTAGTATTTGATTTTTTTTGTATGAAAAATATAATAAAATAAAATCAATTACGCATTTACAAAATGTTTTATTATTTAATGTATGGTGTGGACTTATAAAAATACCGGATAGAGATTGACCAGCGGCTTCGCCTGCGTTATAGTTAAAAAAAACATGCGTGAGTGTCGTGGAACACTCGGTTGGAACGAAGTTCCTGTCGTAGTATATTGTTATTGATAAACGTATTATATTATTGATTAACAAATACAAACAAATTAATTACTAGCGTCTATTAAAAGGAAGCGTCATTTAAAATAAAATAATATTTCTTCATGGCAAGATAAGAAAGAGTGCGAGGGAGATGGATATTAGTCAATCTCGCTCGCACTATAGAAAGGGTCGTGACGGAAAAATCTTAGACTTTTTTCGCCTAGCCCCCATCCGCCAAATTCGTACCGAGCGATATGGAACTTTGTGACAATATTTTATCCTAAAAACCATGCATCCAAATGGTCACATTCGATTTTGACAATTATTATACAATTCTATTTAGTAATACAGAAAGAAAAAATAAAGAAAAAAAGATTTAAGACTAAATAAAAAAACACCCGACTGCGCGGAAGCTTGCAAAACAAAAACAATCGGTGCATCCGTTTAGGCTGTAGGCTCAGCCAAACAATTTTCGAAACATACCCACATACACATACATACATAAACCTTCCTTGACGTATTTCCTTTTCTGTGCAGTTGGGTAAAAATGAACATATATCAGCTTTTAAGATAATACGGGTAATTCGCAATCCAAGACTGATTACACCAAAAAACGACGCGTTGATTTAGTGAAAAAATTTAATTTATTAGTTAGATTATAAAAAAAAAATTTATAGGATAGGGTGACAAACGAGCACACAGTCCACCTGATGGTAAGTGGTTACTGTGACCCATAGACATCTACATCTATCCTCAATAAAGACTCAAGATGCAGATGCGTTGTCACCCGTGAGTACTAAGATGGAATGCCTCTTTGCCAGTAAAAGGGGTCTCCGGTTCTCTACACTCACCATACGAAACACAGCAGCGTTAAGCTGCTATTTTACGCTGGTTTTCTGTGAGAGCGTGGTCCTTCCCCGGTCGAGCCGACCCATTCGTGCTACAACTATACTACTAATATAGCTGCAGCATGGATTAATTTAATTTATTAGTTTGTTTTCGTAAATTACTATTAGTTTTGGGTTACTTAACGAGGGTAGCAGATTTTGTTAGTGATTTGCAAACGTCCTTTGTAATTTCTGCAGATTTTAATCGCGCAACTTGTCATTTTCACCAAACTAATCTACCGCAAAAATGAGCCGTGATTTCGTATCTTTTGGCTTTACAATTGACAATGAGGAGCGGGGAGCGCTTTAGAGGCTAACTGTTAGCTGATATTTTTATCGACTATTTTGAGCCGCCGCGCCGTTACTCTATCTAGAGAGTACATAATCTGAGGTTGCAGGCAATATGTGCGGTGGGCGTACCGAATGTTTTATTAAATTTTGATCATAATCCGAAGTAAAATGTCAGTTGAATGGCAAAAGAAAATGTAAAAATAATACTACAAGAAATAAGAAAGACACTGGGATCACATATCATCAGTAAGTATCATAAAATTTCGAAATTTCAACATAAAATAACAAGAACCATAAATAAATCACAAAATATGAATGACACCATTCAGTGTTGCAGCGTATACAAAAATAAAGTTTCTCGTGGTTGAGAGATTTTTACGAGTATATGTGAATTTATTGTTATAATAATATTTAAGTTATTATAATATAACCCAGTTCTATATTATTAAATGTTTATTTTGTAATATTGCTCACATGATCTAATATTTTTATTAATTACATATCATCGTCATCATTATAGCCCTTCAAAAGTCCACCGCTGAACATAGGCCTCCCACAAGGAATGCCACAAAGCACGGCCCTGAGCCACCTACACCCATCGACTTCCTGCATGTCTTACCAGGTCGTCACTCCATCTAATGGGGGGTCACCCTACACTTCGCCTACCAGCACGAGACTGCCAGTCGAGAACCTTTTTTCCACATCGGTTGTCGGTTCTTCGAGCTATATGGCCGGCCCATTGCCGTTGGGCAATGTCAGTCACTCTAGTTCTATTGCGGATATCATAATTTCTTAGTTTATTACGCAGAGAAACCTTGAGCATAGCCCTCTCCATAGCTCATTGAGCGACCTTTAGCTTCCTCATCCGGACAGCAGTGAAGGATCAGTCAAGTCAGTTCCATAGGTCATCACTGGCAATACGCACTGGTTGTACAGTCTCGTTTTAGGTTTTGAGGTATACCTGACGAGACGATGTGTTGTAATTTCCCGAATGCTGCCCAGCCGAGTTGAATCCGTCGATTGACCTCTCAGTCGACACTGGATTTACCTAGTCGGACTATTTGTTCCAGGTAAATATACTCATCAACAACTGCGAGCTTAGTGCTGCCAACAACTACCGGCATAGGTATGATATGGACATTAAACATGATCTTTGTTTTATCCATGTTCATCTTAAGACCTATCCATTGGGAGTCACTATTGAGGTTATTGAGCATAATGCTTTCATCGTGGTAGAGCCATGCTGCAGCTATATTAATAGTATAGTTGTAGCACGAATGGGTCGGCTCGACCGGGGAAGGACTACGCTCTCACAGAATACCAGCGTAAAATAGCAGCTTAGTGCTGCTGTGTTTCGTATGGTGAGTGTAGAGAACCGGAGACCCATTTTACTGGAAAAAGAGGCATTCCAACTTAGTCCTCACGGGTGACGCATCTGCATTTTGATTCGCAAACGAAGATAGATGTAGATATCTATGGGCCACAGCAACCACTTACCATCAGGTGGACTGCGTGCTCGTTTGTCACCCTTATTCTATAAAAAAAAATGCTTAGATCCTCCAGCGATTCTGCCATAAGTACTATATCGTCGGCAAATCCAAGGTGAGTGATGTACTCGTCATTGATATTAATACCGTATACTTTCCAGTCTAGTAGCTTGAAATCGTCTTTCAATGCAGCGGTGAAGAGTTTCGGGGATATAACGTCACCCTGTCTTACACCTCTCTGCAGTTGGATACGTTTCGTACTCTGTTCTGTACTCTAATAGCCATCGTAGCCCTACTGTACAAACACTTCAGCACTTCGATATACCGGCAATCAACTTGGTGCAGATGAAGGGACTGTAGCACCGCCCAAATTTCGACGGAATTAAAGGCTTTCTCATAGTCCACATACGCAAAGCAAAGAGGCAGATTGTACTCTTCTGTTTTCTGTACAATTTGCTGAGGGGTATGTATGTGGTCTAGTTTTGTTGTTAGGTTACTTATGAATATTAAATGACTCCCTTTTTTCATTATTTTCATTGCACCACATTTAATTTTCGGGTTTATTTCGGCAAATTTTTTGTGTAATTTAATGATTTTCATTTCTTTATTGCTTAATTTTAAAGCAGAGAACCGCATGCATATAAATGCAGATACTGTGGTACTTTATAATGGCAACGCAAGCAACGCAGCAAGAGAAGGAATTAAAAATACTCCATGGAGTAAATTTTTTGTTTCAAAAATATGGTGAGAATTTTTTTTCGGTAAATAATAAAAAAATGTTAGTTAAAATATAAATCTTATAAAATTAGTTGAAAATAGTTTCATTTCTTAAAATAAAATTGAGGGGAATTCGACATGAATATTTGGAGAATTCGACAAATTGGTGTTGGCAATTCTGCCATGTTGCACCAAAATTTACCTACTAAGATTTGTTTACCGGCGATATAAAAATTCGAGGCGGCAATCACAATAAAACTTGCAAGTATATCTAAGTTTGACGTACCTCTTCTTAAATTCAAAGTATTAGACGGATTAATAACAAAAATCAATTATAATAAATTAAAAGAATTTTTTTTTAGATTAATTCTGATAGATTAACTGTTGATCATAATTGCAATTGACCTTAACTATTAAATTAGTCAATACCATTTCATGTCTATTTACTTGTACTAAATCAAAGATAACGATGAAATAGTGTTTATAATTGTGTAAGTGTAGTTGTAAACCAATTAGCTACGTTTATTAATTTCACTATCATTTTTGTAGTAACGTATTTTTGTCTAATTGTATTAAAAATGACAACTATAACTTCTAAATTCGAGTAGAATAAAAGTAAAAATAAAGTAAGAATAGTCGTAGGGATAACTAAACTTTAAAATTAAAGTTGGTAATGTCGTAACGGTTTAACGATCTGTGGAAATGATCAGTGCTTACCGCAAGGACGTTAGGACGTACGGTAGTTAATTGTTTTGGCGGGATTGGTTAATATTAGATTTTGAGACAGTTCCGTGTTGACTACCACGTGGAGCGACAGTCATTTTGGTTATTAAATTCTTGTTGCTACGTTTTGTGTTTCTTGTTTTGTTTTAATAATGCCTAACGCGTACGTTTATAGTGCCCGTGATTACGGCAACATGTTAATGTGCCTTGGAGAATCTCATAAGTCCACGGAGGATTTAGATCGGTAAGCTGTTTCATACTTATTTTTTTTAAATAATTTAGTACTGAACTGATCTGAATAGGTACATAACTGATTAAATCAGAGTAATAAACATACTTACACGATGTATAAAAAGCATGACTCTATCCTTGTTAACATTTCATTTAAGTAAATTTCTCATTAGCGGTGAATCGAACCAGGTATTTGGTTTATTTAACCCGTGAACTCGAATTAAAGTGGCTAGGTGGAGACAAGTACAGTGGCAAAATAGTAGGTTAAGTAGATAGGTTAGGTTTTTAGACAAGTGTTGTAATTATTAGGTATTGGTACGATCGCAAGCTGCGGGCCGCGCACATTTGGCGTTCTCGCGAATATTGACCCTAGTCAGCTGATTTAAATTACGCTGCTGGTTTTATGTTTAATATTTTCATGATTTTTTTAATGAAATTATCGTTTCATTTAGCTGTACTAACATGATGGAGCGTGAATTAAGATAATAAAACGTTGTGAAAAGATGATTATTTTTTCCTCAGGATCGATTTCCTTTCAAACCCATCATCAAAGGTATCGTTAGTACTATCATCTGTCTTCGTTTTCGGGAGCGTTTCACAAACACCCGGTATGTATCAGGTCATCTAAAAATATTTTATTTTCATAGGATAGGGTGACAAACGAGCACACAGTTCACCTGATGGTAAGTGGTTGCTGTGGCCCATAAATATCTACATCTATCCTCGTTTGCGAATCAAAATGCAGATGCGTTGTCACCCGTAAGGACTAAGATGGAACGCCTCTTTTCCAGTAAAGAGGGTTTCCGATTCTCTACATTCACCATATGAAACACAGCAGCATTAAGCTGGTATTCTGTGAGAGCGTGGTCCTTCCCCGGTCGAGCCGACCCATTCGTGCTACAACTATACTACTAATATACCTGCAGCATGGCTCTACCACGTAAACATATGGCGGTAAAGTTTTGATTAGATAGAAAAGAAAGAAAGAATGAAAAAAAAAATAATGGGATATAAAATAAATAATAGTGCTTGCTTCAAAAATATTTTTTTATTTACTATCACAAATCATTACTATACCTAACGCCTTATATCTATTTATTGTACAAATCTTCATGGAAGGCAAACTTATGTTAATTATAATGAATGCTATTATGTCACCAATTGCCTTGCACAGAGATAAATATAGTAACAAGCATATTGTAGGTAAATATAATATTAACCAATCAGCGCTGAGCGAGCCAAATTGCACTTTATGGCATCGTAACAAGAGTCAATATATATTTAAGTGTTTTTGTGATCTCCCTGTATCTTGTACTATTAAGTATGTTACATGGGTTGAATTCGGTCTGTCAATATTATAAAATAGTCATTTGGTGAGTAATAGCTATTTCGAGCTATTTCTTATAAAACTAAAATTCTTGGTATGATAGCAAAACACAATCAAACAATCCGAGTCATAAACATTTGAATTTTTTTTTTATAAAAGTAATGGTTACAAACGAGCACCTAGTCCACCTGATAATAAGTGTACAGTAGTTATAAACACATCTATCGTCGATTAAGAATCAAAATATACATCCGTTGTCACCCGTGAGGACTAAGATAGAAAGCATTGTTTCCAGTAAAAAGGGTCTCCTGTTCTCTACACTCATCATACGAAACACAGCAGCGTTAAGCTGCTATTTTACACTGGTATTCTGTGAGAGCGTGGTCCTACCCCGATCGAGCCGATCCATTCGTGCTACAACAGTAATATAGCTGCAGCACACCTCTATCACATACAAAATTGTTTAAATTATTTTCTTTCGGAAAAACTTGAAAAACTCTCGTCTTTCTTAGTGTCAACTGCATTTTTGTGACTTTTCACAAATATAACATTATAGTAAAAAAAAAAAAAAACTGATATTAGTTTGTTTAGTGACATATTATTTTATTGAAATCGTATAATTTTATTATAAGCCGATAATAAGAGGCCTGGTTCTTTTCTCGTTCAAATGCTAAGTATAGCCATTCAGTGAGAAAATGAAGCCAGCGTTCTTGACACCATACCACGGGGAGTAGGATTGTTTGATAATAATTTAAGTTTTTAGTTTTAATTTTTTTATTATAATTTTTGAATATTGTAAATAAATAAATACTTCTAATTATAAGTTGTAATTGTAAATGAAATTTTAACAAAGCTTTTCAAATAAAAAAAGTTTCTAGTCGGTTCTTCCCAGTTAAGGTATTTGCCAAACATTGTAAATTTTGATATTATTAAGAACTAAAAACAAAAGTTAATTGCCTTTATTAAAAAAATATCGACTTGATTTTATGAAACTTTTTTACTTAAATAATACTAGCCGTGCTATAAACACTACTAATATTTCTTATTATCAACACAGTTAACCAATTATTGTGCTAGGAATGATCCACGAATTCCTTTTTCTGCAGACCGTACCCGAAACCAATCATGTTCACTTTTAATAGTTGCCATTTTGTATATTGGTTTTACGATATATGCTTTAAAACTGAAGACCGCTGTATATCCTGTTCCCCCTTTCGTCTTCTCTAAATAGTAGTGCATGACTTGATACGTTCATGGTATATTTTTCACTCTATTCCAGTACTCTTTACATGTATATTCTTCTCAAATGATGTGCGCTTGTGATGGCGTTGCACTGGGGGCATATTTTCTTGGCTTTTAAAGACTGAAGCCAGCAGACCTGGAAATATTAATTCGATATTAAAGAAAAACGGTTAATTTCAATCCATGAATGGACAGATTTTTACGAGCACACAGTCCACTTAATAAATAATGAAAAGCGGATACTGTGGCCCATAGACACCTACATCTTTCATCGATTAAGAGTTAAAATGCAGATGAGAGTCGAAGAATTAAGTTCCATTCCATCTTAGTTCTCCGATTGCTTCCCTTAACCTTCAGACGAGCACACATTCCACCTGATGGTAAGTGGTTGCTGTGGCACATAGACATCTACATCTATCCTCGATTGCGAATAAAATGCAGATGCGTTGTCAGCCGTGAGGACGAAGATGGAATGTCTCTTTTTCAGTAAAAAGGGTCTTAGATTCTCTACACACACCATACGTAACACAGCAGTGTAAGCTGCTATTTTACGCTGGTGTTCTGTGAGAGCGTGCTCCTTCCCCGGTCGAGCCGACCCATTCTTGATGGTGCTACAACTATACTACTAATATAACTGCAGCATGGCTCTACCACGTATAACATAACGACATCTTAAGATTGTGTAGCGTTTGATTATTTGGCCATTGGAAATTTCTTGTCCTACCACCTAGATCACCTAGACCACCAACTGTAAGTAATACTAGGTCTATTTAGGTATTTAGCCGCGTATTAAAATGTTAGATGTGTTATAGACGTGTGTGAGCGGTGGCATCTTGGCGGCAAAACGGCGAGGACGTAATTTTTGCCAGGTAAGTTTTACATTATTTTACGAAACCGAGCACATAACCACTAGAGTAGAAATATTCGATGTTTCACAAAAAGTGACAGTACTCCATCCAAAAAAACATCATAACCTATTTTTATCAATAAGTTAAATTACATAGTGAAATTTTTGAAAACCTAACTCTTTTAAAGTTTTTATCCGTTTCAGATAGGTAGACTGCTAGAAACTAATTACAATGCCTAAATGGAAATGCCTGTTCAACAGCGACTTGCAAAATAAATTGCCAATGTTAAAAAAAAGTAAATATGACTGGGAGGCTTTCTGTACAATTTGTTCAACAAATATTTCGATCGCAAACGAAGGCGTTTCTGACATAAATGAACATTTGAACACACAGAAACACAATACTAATATGAAAAATCAAGTATCTACATTTTTTTGTAACATCACACCCGGAAGACCTTCAAATTCGAGGAGCTGAAGGCACACTCCTTTATCATACAGTCAGCCATCACATATCTTTCAATAGAATAGAATATTTTTTATTCAATATTGATTATTACATAATCCTTATTGAAAGTCATATTTTATTTACCACCGGGTTGGAAAACTGTCCTGGGAAGAACGAGCAAGAAACCCAGCGGGACTTTTTTAAAACATATTTCATTTAACAATAATTTTGTTTATACAGTTTCTAAATGAATTTTCATAGAACCAGCATGGTGGCGATCACCTTATTCCCAGGGGTTATTTTCATTCATGTATTCCTTGATATTACCTAGTTAGGTCATAAATTCTGTCACATGTTTAATATAAAATAATTGAAACAAGTTTATTCATTATGTAACCCTTTATATACCAAAATGAACTTAACAAAACATAGATTCTTATGACACTAAAGTTTATTCAAAATGATCTCCGTGATTTTGAATACAGGCCTTCAATCTGCGCGGCCAGTCGTCTATCGCAGCACAAACGAGGTCTATGTCAATATCGGCGGCTGCCTTAATCAAGGATTTCTTGAGTGACTCCAAATTGGGATGAGGCTTTGAGCACGCCTTTTCCTACAAGTGTTGCCATATCTTGTAATCTAACGGATTCAAATTTGGACTGGACAGTCTTCGTGCCGGATGAAGTCGATTTCATGCGCCACCAGCCAGTCTTGTGTGCTCTTCGCTCTATGAGCTGGCGCTGAATCTTGTTGGAATACCCAGTGCCTGTTATTGAACATGGTATGAGAAACAGGTTCCACAAGGTTCGTCAGGACTGTATTTTGATACACAACTGCATTCGTTTTTACACCTTTCTCACAAAAATGTATATACCTCTGTTAAGCCCCAATAAGAAACTCCCAACCATACCATGAGCGAGGATGGAAAATGACCTGGTTGGACACGCGGAATACGGTTGCTCGCTTCTTCACTACTGTGTGCGTATACTTTATCAAATAATAAAAATAAGTAATATTACATATAAATAATAAATTATTTATATGTAATATTACTTTTATTACTTTATAATTCTCTCAAATTTTCCGCATTACAATTTCTGACATTGAAAATTAATTAAAAAAAATATTATTTAAACGTTTTTTAACTTGATTGTGTGAAATGACGCTTTTTATTAGGGTTCCGTAGCCAAATGGCAAAAAACGGAACAGTTATGGATTCGTCATGTCTGTCTGTCTGTCTGTGCGGATGTCACAGCCGCTTTTTTCCGAAACTATAAAAACTATGCTGTTGAAACTTGTTAAGTGGATGTATTCTGTGAACCGCAATTCAGATTTTCACACAAAAATAGAAAAAAAAAACAATAAATTTTGGGGGTTCCCCATACTTAGAACTGAAACACAAAAATTTTTTTTCCATCAAACCCATACATGTGGGGTATCTATGGATAGGTCTTTAAATATGATATTGATGTTTCTTATATAATTTTTTCTAAACTGAATAGTTTGCGTGAGAGACACTTCCAAAGTGGTAAAATGTGAGTCCCCCCTCCCTGTAACTTTTAAAATAAGAGAATGATAAAACTAAAAAAAAAAATATATGATGTACATTACCATGTAAAATTCCACTGAAAATTGGTTTGAACAAGATCTAATAAGTAGTTTTTTTTTAAACTTCATAAATAGTAAATTATGTTACTTGCTGCTACGGGACCCTTCATGGGCGAGTCCCTGACTCGCACTTGGCCGCTTATTTAATTTTAAAGGACAATGTTTAAATTCGCCTAAGAACCTACATGTATTTGACAATTACCAAAATTCTTATCCTTAATTATGCATTAGATAACATTCATTAGATAGTAACGGACACTTCTGAATTGTGAACACAAAATAAAAAGGACTTTTTCGATTTTGAACTTTATACCTAGTTTTTAATACTAATGTGCTGCGTTTATGGCCTCCTGTGATTTGGCCAATCGCACAATACCTTCACTCACATATTTGAAAAGTTGTCATAAACTCAAATATAATATGAAAACGTTTATATTTTAAAATATAACTCAGATTAATATATGCCACAAGGAACTGGGGTACAGTGAAATCATCTGTTTTCATTTAAAATAACAATACTATTGTACTCTCCTTGGCAAATCAGCATTATGCCACGCAAAAAAAAAAGTCAATAATGTTGACAAATGACAACACGACAAAACTCAAAACAAATAGACGTCAGGTGTGCGATCGTTTTGGTTTCGTTTGAAAAAACAAAAAATACATTTCTGCAAATGTTTTCGGAATCTAAGTGCACTGTGCAGTTGGTTTCCGAGTCCGAGTCCGTTAACCGAGTCGTAATTTATATTACGACTCGGTTTGAACAACGGATGTCGATACTCTTCTTTAGTGACTTACCTGGCTTGAATCACGGACTTTAACCAAATGAGACTGTATAAGTTGTATTTATTTGGTATGAATAAAATAAATACCTAATCCCAACCTGAGTTTTATTCACCGTATAAATGCTAGGCTAAGACTGAACTGCTTACATTAGCAATAACATAGTAATGTTTCATAAAAATAAAACATAACCTCAAAATCTCTATGATAACTGCTAATATCTAAGTTTTCAGAAGTGTCCGTCAGGAGTTATTGTTCTTACATACAATTATGTGTAATTTCGAACTTAAAAAGGTATTTTCTTTCACTGTTGGTTCTTAGGCGAACATTGTATGGACGCAGAACAATGTCCTTTATATACCGAAAACAATAGACTACCAAACCAACCTAAATAAAGAAGGAACAATCTTTATTCAGATCAAATAAGACAGTTAAGATAAAAATGTCTTGAATTTTACATTGAAAACCTTAATCAAATCAAATATCGCTTCCTCTTTGAAGATGAGCATAGACAAAGGCTGAAGAATTGAAGGTTTTTAACCCTGACACATTGCTGGACTCAAATTTAAAACGTTCTGTACCATCTGCAACTAATTTGGGGCAAATGTTCCTAGGTAATATATTTATCACTAGTTGCGTCCTGCGGTTTCACCCGCATAGTGATGATTAAGTAACAAACATCCATCCGTATTTTCGCATTTATAATATCAGTGCGATAAACTTCAAACATTTTATTTATGAGTTAAAATAGTTAAATAAAAAGTGCTGTAATTTACTGAGTTTTCAATTATTAATTTACTTTCAGGACGATGTTCAGCAAATCTGACAGAGTTAGACCATTGATGGAGAACTCTAAGAAACAGAAATCTTCCATTTCAAGAGGACCAGCTAATGCTAATTAAAGCAGATGAGTTTTGGCGTCGTATTTTTTTTTATAGGAGAGGGGGCAAACGAGCATGCGGCTCACCTGATGGTGAGTGACTACCGCCGCCCATGAACAACTGCAACACCAGGGGAACCAGGGGAATTGCAGATGCGTTGCCGGCCTTTTAGAAAGGTGTAAGCTCTTTTCTTGAAGGTCCCTTAGTCGTATCGGTCCGGAAAAATCGCTGATGGTAATCGATTCCACAAGGAAGTCGTGCGAGGAAGAAAACATCTTCTAAATCGCACAGTGGTGGACCGCCAATCATCCAGATGGTGTGGATGGTATCGGGAGTTCTGCCGCGATGTGCGTTCGTGAAATTTGGCGGCTGCGATTAATCCGAAAAATTCCTCAGAGCACTCCCCGTGGTAAGAATTTTATATTGCAAAACTAAGACAAGGCGATTCATCTCAAATGTTTCCCTTATTGGCCCAATTTGCACAAAATTTATTAACATTGCCACATAGCAGTGCAAATGTTGAGCGTCTGTATTCTGCGATCAATTTGATGAAAACTAACATCGGAAACAGACTTTCCACCGACAACACGCTAACAGGTTTACTTTTTACGAAAAGTGGCTTAAAAATAAACCGCGAGCCTACACAGGAACACATTTAACTATTTAATAAGAATATGTATAAATTTAAATGCCTGATGATAATGAATAATTTAATTAAAAATAAAAACCACTCGTTTTATTCAGTTTCCCCGGTCCTAACCTTGTTCATTTTATCCCGATATATACTTACTTTAATCTATGCTCTTCATTTCACTCACAAAAAGTACGTAGATCTACGAACTTTCCATATGCAAAATTGTACTAATTATAAGTAATTTTCTAATCTGGCCCAAGCCTTTTTTTTAATCGGAGTTGGCAATACTGGCTAGATGGCCTAAACACGAATAATTTAATATAATTTTTCTATCTCATTCTCTCGCAGGATAAATCCTTTAGATGTATGTTTGTATGTTTTTAGTGTCGCTTTTTCGTTTCATCGATTTTCAAATCACAACCATTCTAAAGAAGTTTTCTTATAATAGTAAAAGTTATTGAAAGCAATAATGAAAAATTACCTCACAGTAAACATGCCAGCACTGGATCGACACCGCAGGGGATATGTGCGGACCGAGACATATCAAACACTTTGCCTGAAATAGAACAGGTTTGGAATAAATAGACATTTATAAATTATATTATGTAAAATTGAATGGGAGGCACAACAATATTAAAGTTACATATACAGGGTTATTTTTCAAAGAGTAGCCAAATTTTAAACTAAAGTTCAAATATATGAACAATTATTGCAGTTTTTGAAAATACGAGTAAAAAGGGCTTCTACTTTTATATGAAATTATTTCCAATTGAATGTGATTTACGGGCAACAACGTTTTTGCCTACCGGTTGACCCTTATGAATGTGTGCGTGAGCAGTAAAATAAAATCAGTTAAAATGATGCACGACCACGCATTTTGAATTTAAAAGATAAAAAGAACTTGACTGACTGAGATTTTTAATAAAATTTTCTTCATCATTTGCTTGTATCACTTAATCTGAACCTTCTCCGCAAAAGAACCTTGTTTACTTTCCAAAGCTGGGTACAGGCTTCTCATTTCTAAGAGAGTCACAATTAGATTTAATTCTATGCATTAGAACCAAAAGATTTGATTTATCTTTTATAATGCGTACAGCAATGTAATAGAATAATTTGCCGACGTGTATCTTTCCGTCCGAATACAATCTGGGCGTCTTCAAGGCGAGAGTGAATAGGCTTTTGTTACGCTAAGACAGCGCGATTTACCATCTAAGGCTGCATCACCACTTACCACCAGGTGGGATTGTGGTCAAGCACTGGCTTATAATAAGTAAAAAAAAAAATTCTACCACTCTGCTCCAGTAAGCATGAACTACTAAACTAAAAAGAAAGTAACATAATTAAAAATTTTGTACAGCCAACTAATATAATAAAAACTATTGGTCAGACCTTGATCAAACTTATATGGGACCACAAGAGAAGCACCAGCTTTCTTATAAAAAAAGAATCCTCAAAATCGGTTCATCTAGAAAAAAGTTATGAGGTAACACACATAAAATAATTAAAAATTTTGTACAACTAACTTCAATATAAATTATTAAGAATAATTAAAAAACTATTGGTCAGACCTTGATCAAATTTATATGGGACCACATGACAAGCACCAGCTTTCAAATAAAAAATGAATCGGTTCACTCAGAAAAAAATACAATCGAATTGAGTAAAGTCGGTAGAAAAGAAAGTAACAAAACAAGTAAGACACTTACCTCAGCCGCAGAGTTCTGCCTGCTCTCCAATTCCTTTATCTTCGCTTTGAGAGCTTGTATTCTTGTCTGAAATAAGAATAGTGGGTCACTGTGTTGACTAAAGCAATTCTATACGTGGTAGAGATGAATAGGCAATTTTTTACGTGGTAGAGCCACGCTGCAACTATATTAATAGTATAGTTGTAGCACGAATGGGTCGGCTCGACCGGGGAAGAACCGACCGCTCTCACAGAAAGAATATCAGCGTGAAATAGCAGCTTAATGCTGCTGTGTTTCGTTTTTTGAGTGTAGAGAACCGGAGACCCTTTCTACTGGAAAAGAGGCATTCCATCTTAGTCCTCACGGGTGATAACGCATCTGCATTTTAATTCGCAAACGAGGATATATGTATAGATGTCTATGGGCCACAACAGCCACTTGCCATCAGGTGGACTGTGTGGACGCTTCTTCTACAACGGGGAGGCACCCAATAGTGGATATTTACAGTCAAGATTTTTTTTATAAAACTGTAACTAAAGAATTTACTGTACATCTGATGGTAAGTGGTATATGGTAAGTTACTGCTGTCCATTAACACATGCAACCAACTTCAAACGAAGAAGATGCTTTGTCACGTCTAAGGACTAAGACGAAATGTTTTTTTGAAGGAAACTGTTGATGATGTAGGCCGCTGATGTCTTCCTGGAGAAAAATATGCTAAAACAATTTGGTGAGCGCGTGTACATCCGCGGGGAGGGAGACATAGGTGTCACCTCGAATGATGTTCTAGTGCAACTAACTCGAAGCGCGGGATCATGTACTCAGCGGTGCAACACCGATGTTGCAAATATACCTTCACCCTACTAATAAAAATCGCGATAAGTGCCACCGTTCCCGTATGCACACGTACTTATTTATTATAGAAAAACAACAAGTACATAAGGTAAGTAACAATGTTTTATGAGTATATATTTTACATATATTATTTTCTATTGATTACTATTATTTATATTTCAGGTGTTCGAGAAGCAACGTGAGCGTCATCAACAGAAACGTTACTAAGATTTGGTCCTGTATCATGGAGGCAGTTTACCAATACATAAATTGCACAGACCCGGAATAATTACTTGCAGGCCATGCAAATACTTGATCCGTGTGTGAATCGAACTTGCGTCTCTCAGTGCCGTAACTTATTGTTAAGCCACTGCACTAGAGCCGTCACATTGCTCACAGTAAGATAGGGGACCTCACAGCCCGTAGCCTGCAGAAGAATGATGTTATCTTTACCTCCGCACTCGCTTCTACCAATCCATTCGGCTTTGCTGGCTCGCATATCTTCTCAGGCTCGTTATGAGTTTCTGTGTCAATCCTAGAGTTTTCTTCTTCGTGTCTATCCTCTGCTACAGGTATTTCTGCCTAGAAATAAAAAAAACATATTTAAAATAACTTAACCTCTGGATACTTGTAGAAAGGATGTTCTTTGATAAGAAATTAAATCTTTTCATTTTTAGAGATTTATTTATAGAATAAGGGTCACAAGCGAGCACACAACCTACCTGATGGTAAGTGGATGCTGTGGCCGATAGACATCTACATCAATCCTCGGTTAAGAATCAAAAAGCAGATGCATTGTCACCCCTGAGGACTAAGATGTAATGCCTCGTTTCCAGTATAAATGGTCTTTGATTGTCTACACTGAGCATACAAAATACAGCAACATTAAGCTGGTATTTCACGTTGGTATTCAGTGTGAGAGCGTGGTCCTTCCCCGGTCGGTCGAGCCGACACATTCATGCTACGATCATAATATAACTGCAGCGTGTCTCTACCACATATATTTTATAACTTCATTTTTTAGTATTTTATTATATACAATATTAAAAACTATAAAAAAAACTAAAACTAGTAAATTAATTATCAAACAGTCCTACTCGCCGCGGTATCGTGCCTAGAATGCTGGCTGAGTTTCCCCGCTGATCCTCGCTGGCTGCCCTCTTATCACCAGCAGCAACGACGCGGTTGGAGTTCCTTTAGGAACTTCACCGCACGTGGACCCCACGGACCGATAGTCTCTACAGCAAATGGCACATATATTTAGTCATCTCTCAGAGACTCATATTTGCGCCACTTACTCAGTTCAGCTGCTTCTGATGCCGCCCCGACTCTAAACGAGATACCCCGGAGATGAGACGCTGCCAGAGTGTCTACGCAAGTAGCATCCCACACTAGGGCTTTACCTCTCTCCCAAGGGACCAATGTCATACTGTCGGGTCTCCTGCCATCGAACTTCATTTGCAATACGACATTTTCAATTACATTCCTTATCAATTATTTCCTAGCCATAATTTCAATTATGGCTAGGAAAGGAAGATGAATATATTTTACTAGATATTAGGACACCATTTCTGCCTTTGAGTCCGTTTGGGTAGAGTACCACTCTCTTATTTACATCTACCGCGAAACAGCAGTGTCTGCACTGTTTCGTTCTAGTCTGTAGGATTTAGAAATAACTCATGTGTAGTCTTCTTTATTTGAAATTGGTTGCTGGTGTTCAAGAGCTGTACTCGCCACTTACAATCAGATGGAATACAAGTTACTTTATAAATTTAATGTCATATAAAAATATACCAAAATTTTGTATATATTTTTGTATGTATATAATTTTACGTGGTAGAGTCATGCTGCAGCTATATTAATAGTATAGTTTTAGCAAGAATGGGTCGGCTCCACCGGGGAAGGAACACGCTCTCACAGAACACCAGCGTAAAATAGCAGCTTAACACTGCTGTGTTTCGTATGGTGAGTCTAGCGAAATGGAAACCTATTTTACTGCATCTGCATTTTAATCCGCAAACGAAGATAGATGTAGATGTCTATGTGCTACAGCAACCACTTACCATAAGGTGGACTGTGTGCTCGTTTGTCACCCTTATTCTATAAAAAAATGTGGATGAAAATAGGTGTTAATATATCCATTACACGATATCATCCCTAGAATGTCGTAAGAGTGGACTGGGCGGATTTTCCATAATCGTCATCGCTCAGCGGGCGGATTTGACGATCGTAGAACCAGACGTTAGCCTTTGAAGCTGTTTTCCGTCGCCTGTCTGGGTACGTGAACCAACGTCTTTATGTTTCACTAGCAGTGTCCGCGACTTCGTTCACGTGGAATTAGTAGTTTTCACCTGATAATTGATGATGACTTATTTGTACTTTTAAATGTCGCGAACATCTAAAAAGTCGATATAGTAAGAAGAACTTGATAGAAACATACAGTTAGTTAGTCAATGAGACGGACTAATGAACGAATAAAAAGACGGGCCCACAAAGAAACTAATGGATGGACCCACGATAGAACCAAGAAATGAATTTGGCAAACATTATGCTTGAATTTCATAATATTGTAGATAAACAACAAAATGACTGAATGAATCCATAATTAGCTATCGAATTTTTCTAGCCAACATTTTGTTTCTATACAACAGATAAGAGATTGCCCGAAATAAGTAAGCTCCAACTTCTTATTAGTTTGTGGCAAGCTCTATCATCAATTATCTGTACTATGCTATGAGAAACCATACTATAGAATAGAATATTTTTTTATTCAATATTGATTATTACCTAATACTTATTGAAAGTCATTTTTTATTTACCACTGGTTCGGAAAACACCCCAGTCCTGGGAACAACCAGCAAGAAACCCAGCGGGACTTTTTTTTTCAAACATATTTCAATTAACAATAATTTCGTTTATACAATTTTTAAATGATTTTTCATAGAATTAGCATGGTGGCGATCACCTTATTCACAGGGGTTATTTTCATTCATGTATTCCTTGATATTATAATAACCCTTTTTGTACAGTTTTTCTTTAATAAAACTTTTAAACTTGTTTATTGACAAACTTTGAGTATGTTCTGGGATTTTGTTGTAAAAGCGTATACATTGCTCCATAAATTAATTTCTGATTCTGTAGAGTCTAGTAACTGGCATTACAAGCTTATGTTTGTTCCTAGTGTTTAAAGTATGCACATCTTTATTCTTATTTAAGCTATTTATGTTTTTATGTACATATATTACATTTTCTTAAATATATTTCGATGCCAAAGTTAATATGTTTATTTCTTAAAATTTTTGTCTGAGGGACTCTTTATAATTTAGGTTATAAATCGCCCGAACAGCTCTCTTTTGCAAAACATCAGTTGCATTACCCCATAGCAAAATTCCATAAGACATTACGCTATGAAAGTAACTAAAATACACTAAACTAGCTGTCTCAACATCTGTGAGACTTCTAACCTTCTTACAGCATATGCTGCAGAACTAAGTCAGCTTGCTAATTAAGATATATGGAGGCCCTATTAAAGTTTCAAATTATGAAACTTCGTTTCAAGTTTGATTAAAAATATTTGAAATGAAAACTACAAAAACAAAATGAAAATGAAATTACGCATTTATATTAAGACAAATAAAAAATAAAACTAAATCTAACCGATGAAAGCTTTTTGACCTTTAAATATATTATAATATGTCTGATCAGACCCAAAATCAGTTGAGTTTTCTATCGAGAAATTGTTAGTAGCCCGGGGCGGTGATTTTAGCAGTGTTTCATCTATGTGCCTCAGAAAGCAGTAAAAGCCGTTGGTTCTGCGTCGCATCTCTTTATATTTGTGTCTGATTATCGTCCCATCGGACTATGAGAGTGAGGGAATAGAAAGTGCACCTGTGCTTGCGCACACCACACTTGTGCTTCAAAATCCTGTCCTGAGTCGTTTAAGTATAATGTACTCCCATGACACTTACGAACATAAATTATAGAACACTATTAGGTACTCTTTACCGAAAGCTTCGTACATAATATCTCAATGTTCTGCATAAATGGCTAGTCTCAAGTCGTAAAAGGTTTTATGGGTATATTGGAAACAGTAAGAACATAAAAAAATTAAAAGTATTCAGCGCTCAAAACACTTAAAAGATGAAACTTAAATACTCAAAAGTAATAATACTTAAAATATAAATATAACGCATTCAAAAACTTAATAAAATTATATTTAAACCCTTTTAATATAACCTATGGTGGTAACAAAACCGTTACCACCATAGGTTATATTAAAAGCGCTAGCGCTAGCGCCATCTAGTTGCAAATTGCAATAATACTAACCTATACATAATGATAAATAGTCATTTTATACGTGGTAGAGCCACGCTGCAACTATATTAATAGTATAGTTGTAGCACGGATGGGTCGGCTCGACCGGGGAGGGACCACGCTCTCACAGAATACCAACGTAAAATAGCAGCTTAATGCTGCTGTGTTTCGTATGGTGAGTGTAGAGAACCGGAGACCCTTTTTACTGGCAAAGAGGCATTCTATCTTAGTCCTCACGGGTGACAACGCATCTGCATCTTGAGTCTTTATTGAGGATAGATGTAGATGTCTATGGGTCACAGTAACCACTTAGCATCAGGTGGACTGTGTGCTCGTTTGTCACCCCGTCCTATAAAAAAAAAGACAACTTTACTGTTTCGTTTAACAATTTTCCACCTCATAAGGGGTATATATAGATGTAGATTTTTGGTAAGTTCTTAAATTATGTGTTATTCATAAGAATCATAATGTTGTTTTACGAATTTCCCCACCACCAAGCAATTAAAAACCATTTTTCACGCAAACTTTGCGCTCTCGTCTTATCACTTTAAGTTAAGATTTCGGAAAATATAATAAAAAAGTATTTAATTCATTAATCCAAAAATAAATAGTTTTCAAGTTACGAAAATCATTTAGTAATTTTTCTCCGTACAAATTTGAAAACGCCCCATAAAAAGTTTCTTATTAATAATAATAATAATAATTTATTTCAGATAACCAAGTGATCCATAAAATTTGTTAGTAAATATGAAACTTAAAAGCTACCATATTTCATCATTCAAGGGTTTAAATTTTCCAAAATCTTTTCTTAGTGGAAGCCTACGTAATAAAAGAAAGTTATTGTCCTATTTTCACGCTTCTACATCCAGCAGATTGAACTGAGCGTTAAAATACAATATTTAAAAAAATTCTACCCTTAAATCCGTAAGGGTAAATTATATTATAGTAAAACATTAAATATTTTTTCCTCATACAAAATTGAACAATCTCTCAAATAGACGTCAATCGCCACGAAAAAGAAAAACTTTCATACAAACGGTAACACACTATTTCACCCTCTTAGAGGTCGAATTTTCCTAAATCCTTTCTCAATGAATGTCTACGTAATAAAAGGTAGCTACCATCAGGTGGATTTTGTGCTCGTTTATCACTTTTATTGTATAATAACAAAAGTCTCGCTTGGTTTCTAGATGGTTCTTTCCAGGATAGAGGCTTTTTTCCCGAATCGAAAAAAAATTATTCGATTCGATTCTATTCAACAGAATTATTGTAACGGATTTTAGATTACTATAGGTGTTACAGATAGTCCCCTGTGCAGGGCATGTATGGGGGAGGAAGAAACGGCGGCCCAGGTGCTACTGAAATGTCCGGAGGTCGCTACATACAGGGCTAAACATCTCGGCACGCCGGGATCACTCCCCGAAGTTGCATGCAACATCAAGGGCCTGTTGAGCTTCTTCGGAGAGATCTCATGGCTCGAATAATCACATTATTCCTGCCCACACGCAAAATACGCGCATAGACGTGGAGTTGCGGAAAACAGCCCGTCGTAAACTAAACTAAACTAAACTAAACGGATTTTAGAAATAAACATTTCTTGAATACGAATATATAATAGACAAATGTCACAAAATATTTACATCTGGTGCGATCCTCGACGGTGAATATTGCGGAGGACCATACAGCTCCGTGTCTTCATCGCCATCCACCACCTGAAATAAACAGTTTGTGTAAGAAACACTTAAGTTAACAGCTAAGAGTCTAATGTTAACTATTAAAATCCATCCATCACAGCCTATAAAAATCCACTGCTGAACATAGGCCTTAGAAATGAGGATATCCGCAGTAGAACCAGAGTGACCGACATAGCCCAACGGATGTATACTGGTCTGACCACTTCCCACTCTTGACTGAATGTAGATTAAACTGCGTTATACCTAAGGCTGTTCCTAAAATTATAACGTCAAATAAAATAAAATGGGGATGCAGAACTGATGTACAAATAACTCATTATACAGAATTATGTAACAACAACCTTAAATCAATACATTTTCCATCGGAATTTATAAAATGTAGCTATGGTTTTTGTAAAGACATGAGCTATAGGAGTGTCATAGATGATTTATATAAAAACATAGTGTCTGTTTTATCATGTGCAGCAATCGAAACTCACCAAGGAAATATGAATAAAGACAAAAAACGTGTATTAATAGGGTGGAATAAGCATGTCGGTGAGGCCCACAGGGAGGCTAGATCCAAAATGATATGGGTATGGTATGGTCGACCGAGGCAGGGTTTTGTCTATGATGAGATGGTTAACAGCCGCCGTGTCTTTAAGAGTAGATTGAAGTGGTGCCAAAATCATCAGAATCAACTAAAAATGGATAAAGTGGCTATTTATCATTCAAAACAAGACTTTAAAAAGTTTTGGAAGTCTACAAATAAACTCAACGTTGGACCTAGTCTCCCTGAAGCAATAAATGGGGTTAGTAACATGAAGCAAATTGCAAATCTTTTCAGGGATCAGTTTATGGTCACGTCACCCTTAGGGCCGTCGTCACACCCCGTGTCAAATACTGAGACCAAGCATGAACTCAAAATGGTAGCGAGTGACAAAATGATAGCACGTGTTATTCGAACTATGGTTGCAGGTAAGTCACCCGGTCACGATGGTCTCAGTATTGAGCACTTTAAATATGCAGGTGTGCATTTACCTAGAGTTTTGGCACTATTATTTAATGTTTGTGTTTCGCATTCGTACTTGCCTGCCGACTTAATGAGAACTTCAGTTGTCCCCATTGTAAAAAACCGTACTGGTGACGTATCAGAGAGATCGAACTACAGACCAATATCATTGGCAACGACAATAGCCAAGATATTTGACAGTGTGCTTAACTCTATTCTAGAAAACCACTGTACGCTACATGATGGCCAGCACGGTTTTACGCGTGGTCTATCGACAGAAACAGCAATAATGAGTTCAAAGCATACTGTCAAATATTACACGGACAGGCGCACACCGGTGTACGCCTGTTTCCTAGATCTGAGTAAAGCTTTTGATCTTGTCTCGTACGACATCATGTGGCGTAAGTTAGAAGGCGTAGGTTTACCTGACGGCTACACCGATTTGCTTAAATATTGGTATAGTAATCAGGTGAACTATGTGAGATGGGCAAATGAATATTCCGAGCCATACAGGATGGAGTGCGGGGTGAGGCAAGGGGGGCTGACATCGCCGAGGCTCTTCAACCTGTATATGGACGCACTGATTCGAGAGCTCAGCAGCATGCGTGTCGGATGCCATATCGGCAAGGTCTATGTGAACAATAACAGCTATGCGGACGATATGGTTCTTGCTGGTACCCTCAGTTAGTGCGCTGAGAGCTTTACTCGGTGTTTGCGAAAAGTTTGCTGTCTCACATGGTTTACAATACAATACCAAAAAGTCACAGTTCATGGTGTTTAAGGCTGGCAGTAGATGTCCTAGTGTTGTACCCCCTATAAAGCTCTATAACGAACCACTAGAAAGGGTCTATAGTTTTAAATATCTTGGACATATTTTGACTGACAGTCTTAAAGACGATGAAGACATTGAAAGAGAACGTAGGGCACTGTCGGTCAGGGCGAATATGTTGGTGCATAGATTTGGTCGCTGCACTGACGCTGTAAAGATCACGCTTTTCAAAGCATATTGTGCGTCATTTTATTCTTGCAGCCTATGGACCAACTACACCAAAAAGGCCTATAGTGCCCTACGTACTCAATACAATAATGCATTTAGGGCGCTGTTGCGGCTGCCGCACTACTGTAGCGCGTCTGCGATGTTTGCACTGGCGGGTGTGGATAGCTTTGATGCAATAATCAGAAAAAAGACCACATCCTTGCTAAACAGAGTGCGCGGCAGCGGCCACAGTGTGCTGAGTGAGATTGCAGACAGTGGGGACTGTCCACTGATTAAACAAATGATCGCCAGGACTATGTCCTGTTTAATAATTAAGTATTGAGTATAAATTATATTACTAACATAGATGTAAGTTTTTCTTTACTAACAAATTCTATGGATCTTGTTGTCCGAAATAAATTATTTTTATTTTTTATTTATTTATTATTTATTTATTAGTAAGCTGAAGTGGCAATGGGCCGGCCAAATAGCTCGAAGAACCGACAACCGATGGGGAAAAAAGTTCTCGAGTGGCAGCCTCGTACCGGCGGACGAAGTGTAGGGCGTCCCCCCACTAGATGGAGTGACGACCTGGTAAGATATGCAGGAAGTCGATGGATGCAGGTGGCTCAGGAACGTGCTTTGTGGCATTCCTTGGGGGAGGCCTATGTTCAGCAGTGGACTTGTGAAGGGCTGTAATAATGATGATGATGAACATAGGCCTTCTTCACAGATTGCCTCATAGGAGGACGTTGTCGTAGTTGCCACGCTTGGCAAGCGGGTTGGCAACCGCAGTGTTTTATTATAATGAGTTGTTAACAGGAAGATGCTGCCGCCTATCTCCTGTTTCATTTTGCCTCTGTCGCCTCTCACGACACCCACGGGACGATATGGGGTAAGTTAGTAACTAACTGACAATTAAAATATCCCACTGGAATTTCACAGCTAAGGCCAGATTGCCAAAACATCGTATTTTAGTCATTATTTTGACGCTTGAAAATTTATACATTTCGAAAAAAAAAAAGACTCATTTAAATGCCTACGTGATAATAAATGTAACGATAAAATGATAAGCCTAAAATTTGGTGTAATTAATCAAAAGATCTTTCGAGTAAAATTGCTTTGTTGAACAAAAAGTGATTGAATCTCAAGGTGGCACGTAAAATGAAGCTAGATGGCGTAAACACTACTACTAATTTAATATAAATTGGTATTGATTTCTTATATTTACGCGAACACTACACATTGAATAAAACTATTTTTACGGATTTTATCGCGTTTAATTAACTTATTTTATATTCCCGACGTTTCGGTTGCTTTCCAGCAACCGTGGTCACGGGGGACTGAGATGATTGACGTCCCGATGTCAGTGTTAAACCGGATTACGGAGTAAATTTAAAATTACGGAGCAATCCTAATAATACCATAGGTCACACTGTGTATAAAAAAAAGACCCATACAAACCGATATTTAAACGGTGAATCCCACCATCACCCTTCACAGTTAGCTACCGTGGGTAAATCTTTGTTACAGAGAGCACGAGGGATCTGTGACAGCAAACACCTGGCCGCCGAGCTTCAGCACGTCAAGCAGGTTCTGCACGACAACAAGCTTCGGATTCCGCGCTTACGTCATAGTGACCGAGTGAAGCCGGCCACAGCCGAGCGTGTGCCTGCTGTACTACCGTATGTCAGAGGTGTCACAGACAAGATTGGCTACATCTTGAAGCGAGCTTCTATTAGAACATTCTTCAAGCCGCCGAAGAAGATTAGTCAGTTCTTACTATCCGTCAAGTGCAATATTCCTCTACAAGATGCAGGAGTGTACAAGCTTGATTGTGAGTGTTGTCTCTCATATATAGGGCAAACAAAACGATCTATAAAAACCCGCGTAAAAGAACACATAGCTGACGTGAAGAACCAACGTTCCGGGAAGTCTGCAGTTTGTGACCATATCCTAGACGGCCCCCGCCATTACGTTAGATTTGATAAACCACAAATTCTCACGAAAGAACATCGATTCCTGCCAAGGATGATACGTGAGGCTATTGAAATTAAAAAACATCCTAATTTCAATAGAGAGGGAGGCTGGGTACTACCACCTGCTTGGGATCCTGTAATTCATAAAATTAAAACTAAACCCAAGCATACCACTGCAAGACTTCAAGACACAGTTAGTTTATTCTGCGTAGATCGGACCAAAATTATTAATTAAAAAAGCTGAAGGTACTCCGGTTTAACACTGACACCGGGACGTCAATCATCTCAGTCCCACGTGACCACGGTTGCTGGAAAGCAACCGAAACGTCGGGAATATAAAATAAGTTAATTAAACGCGATAAAATCCGTAAAAATAGATTTATTCAATAAATTGGTAAGTTACGAAATCATGGATTGTTATGAATGGATTGGGTATGATAATTTTATTTATTTAAGAAATAAATTTGTATATATACATACATAATGCATTAAAAATGGGCCAGATTACCTTTAACCGACGAGCGTGTATGCGTAGATATATGGATGTAAAAGAGGCGAGAGAGGTGTGTCATGACCGCGCCAAATGGAAGTCCGTAGTCTCTGCCTACCCCTCTTGGTGTGACAGGCGTGAGTGTTTATGTATAAATAAATTTGTCCATCTTCCATCCATTCTATCTTTAAAGCATCACACAAAGAGGAGACCGAGATAATAGGAAACACGGTTACACGTGGTAGAGCCATGCTGCAGCTATATTAGTAGTATAGTGGTAGCACGAATGGGTCGGCTCGACCGGGGAAGGACCACGCTCTCACAGAATACCAGCGTAAAATAGCAGCTTAACGCTGCTGTGTTGCGTATGGTGAGTGTAGAGAACTGGAGACCCTTTTTACTGGAAATGAGGCATTCCATCTTAGTCTTCACGGGTGACAACGCATCTGCATTTTGATTTGTAATAGAGGATAGATGTAGATGTCTATGGGCCACAGCAACCACTTACCATCAGGTGGACTGTGTTTTCGTTAATCACCCTATCCTATAAAAAAAAAACTATATCGTCAGTGAACTGGCAAT